GTCATTGACAACTAATGGATATGCAGTGGTGGAATTTACAGAAGAAAAGGAAGTTGATGTGGTTCCTATGAGGTGGTTAGCTGAAAATGAAACTATGTGCCAGTGGCCAACCTTTAGAATGACAGCCAAAATAAGAAAGGCAGTGAAGGCAAATATTGCCCCGAATGCAGAATTTAGACCTCTTCCAGTCAGGGTACTGGCAAAAACAAGTAAGTCTATCAGCAATCAAAATATAATTATATAGTAAACTTGAGTATATATATTCAGTACATATTACTGTATAATCAACATTGTATTAGAGATTTTGGTCTAGTGAATACATGTATATTTCTTTATGCAGCGGAGTACAACGATGCACGGAAAAAACTGTCAAAAGCAACATATACATCAGACTTGCAAACTGATGCTGAAGAGAACGAGGATATTGGTTCCAGGAAGACCAAAAAGTTTGTATTATATCAACTTAGTCATGTTTTGTATTACCATTCAAAGTTATGTTAAGATTATTCTAACAATACATTGGTATTGTGTTCCTAGACCAAGCCGTTTTGAGTCTTCAGATTCAGAAGAAGTTGAGTGTGATAAACAACAAGATGAGGAACACCACCGACAACAGATTAGAAAATCTCCTCGAAAGATTCAAAGGAAAATTGCCCCACCAAATCTGCCAAGCCTTCCAGCTCCCCCATGTCAGCCCTCGTCTTCAAAACCAACAAAAACTAAAGCACCAACCAATTGTACAGCATCGTTATTTGATAAAGGCCCCTCCACTTCAGGTATATATTTAAAATGATTCAGTGCCAATTTATTTTTTTTAAATGTTATCTCACATAAATATTGCAAACTTATTTATTGTCTGTTTTAAACTCTAACCTTGTTTTTAGCATCAGAAAAGAAAATTGTAAACTGCTTGGAAAAAATCATGACCAACGTTGAGGAATTGAAAGTACAGATGCACCTAAACACGCAGCTGTTACAGGCAACAATCTCAAAGGTTGATGGACTTGGAGGCCTCCCAATATCCGGTGGAAATGAGCTTGACACGGAATTAGACGTGTGCTTTCCTCTTAAATCACAAGAAGATATCGATAAGCTAGAAGACACACTGCAGGATAAGGACAAATGTAAAACTTTGGTAGGTTTAAATGTCTCTCTCTCTCTCTCTCTCTCTCTCTCTCTCTCTCTCTCTCTCTCTCTCTATATATATATATATATATATATATATATATATATATAATTGCTACATGTACATGAGGTGCCATTTATTATATGCATTCATTTTTTTTATCTTAAATTATACAGGTGAAATCGTTATCAACAATTGGAGGGGAAAATGCCAAAACAACAATCAGGAGACTCCTGTCTCACATGATATCAAACCCACTGGCGATTAAGATAAACTGGATGGGAAAGGGAGGGAAAATTCCTTTCTCTTCCTTAAAATTAAAGGAAATATTAAAAGGGATGTATTGAGAGAGAGAGAGAGAGAGAGAGGTCTTCCATGGACATTCTTTGAGAAATAAATACATTATTCTTATTTATTTATTTATTTATTTAGAAACAGTAAGGAAGAATCGCTTGTGCTCCAACACCACTGACACAGAGATATTCACTATAGCTAAAGACTGGTTCCGTTTTGCGAGCGACAGGGACGGCGGGCGAAAGAAAAGGGCCGAAAAAAGGAGGCAGCAGATAGCCAACCAAAACACTCAAGATGATCAAACAGAAAGTGAACCTGAGCATGCTTAGATGTGTGTCGCTAAAATGACTTTGGTTCCTAACCACTAAAAGAATATGAACATTTTCCATTCTTTAATTCTGTTTTTTTTAGGCATTTATCTTTTAAAAAATTTGGCGCAAATTTTAAAATGTACCATTTCACCAAAAAAAAAGAGAACTAAGTACAATAAAAAATAAAAGAGATTTTTTTTCAATTAATGTTTTATTACTTATCTTTTAAACACCTATTTTTCATGATAAAGTAAAATTGTAACAGTAAATAGTGAATTATTGTTTGACCAAAGGGGAAATATATGGGTCAACGTTTAACGTACATGTCCATTGTTTGCCAACATTGAGCCGATGGGTTCTACACGTTGGACCTATGTAGGACCTTCAGCTGGGCCTACGTAGAACTGATGAGCAAAATAACGTTGGGCCAATTTAACGTCTTTTACCAACATTGGCCCGACGTAATCTAGCATTGTTGGGCCAATGCAGGCCCAACATGTTGGGCCAGTGTAGGCCCTACACGTTGGGCCTACGCAGAACCGATGAGCAAAATAACGTTGGGCCAACATTGTTTGCCAACGTTGGCCCGACGTAACGAGCATTGTTGGGCCTATGTTGGCCCAACATAGTCATGCTATCTGGGGGAGTTCTCCGGTGCTGAAGCATTAGATGGAGCAGGCATTTTGCTGTACTTTCTTAAGTTATATCGGTGAAAGGCTGTATTTTCTTTCAACTCCACAATATGGTTCATCCGGGTTTCGGATACCCCACCAGTTGTCGTGTCGCCCTATTGGGTGACCGCACTTATCTTGGGAATTTGTCTAGCTCGCTCGCTTGTGAGAGACCCTTATTTATAATGATTCTGCTTTTCAGCCACCAGGTCCAGATTAGGTTTGGGTGCACTGTAATAAGGAAAAGCAAAGCGTGGATCAAATTAAAAACGATGTTACTTTATTCACGTCTCCGAATAGAATGCACAACAAAAAGTCACCAGGCACAATAAAATAAATCATTATGAGTTGCTCGTAGCATTACAAACAAGTGTGCCTTAACCTACCTAACATCTGGTGACTCATAGAGTGATTAAACAATATTAAAAGACTCACTCTATATAATAAAAAATCTAGACAATGTAATTTCCAACTGAAATACTAAAGCTCGTACTTTTGTTTACACTGGATACATTTAAATTTACCTCCCTCGACTGGAGAGTTTGATAATAATAATAGAGCCAAACAAAGAAAGGCATTATATTTCCGGTATAAAACCGATAAAAAGTAAAACGTGTCTAACTATAAAACTACACTCTACATAGGACTACAGCTACCAAAATACAAGAAAAATCATAAGAACACACATCAAATATAAATGCCCTGATCTCAATATAATACTTTTATAATAGATTTCTATTTTAATGAAAGCTCAAATTTTGTAAACTAAAGCTCAAATTTTTGTAAACTCCAGAAATTAATTGCAAATGTTAATAAATAATTAATTAATCTTTTCTTTATAAGTTCTAGAAAAATAACTTAACCAAATAAAACATTTTTACCATACCTGTAATAAGGAAAAGCAAAGCGTGGATCAAATTAAAAACGATGTTACTTTATTCACGTCTCCGAATAGAATGGCCGAGTTGCGGGCACAATTCCATTCGGAGACCCACGCTTGCCGTGAATTATTTTGTCCAATCAAATTAGTTTTTCTTTGTTAATTTGTATCAATAATAGCCAAAATATCGTATTGTGAAAAATCACATGACATGAACTGACCATTACCTGAGTATTTGACCTGCCACTTAACAAGTTAATCCCCTAACAATAGGTTAATGGATTCTACTTCGTTTGATAGTGTTTTTGACACTAGATAAAAAAGATAAAAGAACCCATAAATAAATATACAAAAAAAACACATCACCTATCTACAAATTACTGCTGTTCTCTTTTTCCAGCAAAATTACATAATTGTATGGCTAAAGGCTTAAACAGTTTACTAATCCCTCATGCCAAATCTTCTGAGTAACACATATTATTTATTTTAGACAATTACCTGTACTTATTTTTTTCTTCAAAGACATTCCTTCTTTTTCATCAAATAAAATACTATTACCAAATTTCTATACATATATCTGAAATTGTAACAGGAAATAAAATAAAGACTTTACTATATAATTCCTATAAAACGAGAATACCCAAAATGTTATGTTAAAATATCCACATACATTAATCTTAACCCAAATTGAAATATTAATTGACTAAAATTCAAAGTGAAATTTTATCTTTAATCATAACTTCATGTTGCAGATTTTATTTGACAAAATGAAATATGTCAGAAAGGACACTACCAAGCTAATTTCTTCAAACCTTCACAGACGAAAAAATCCATGTGAAACTAATCACAAATGGATTTGAATTTTTCCCCTATGAATTCTAAGTGATTTTGTATAAAAAAAATTCTCAAAAATTATGGTTGTACAAATTGTCAAATCAAAATGCAAGCATTGACGTGTAGTGGTAGTGTATTTATGACTCCTGAGGCAGACACTATGATGAAATCACAAAGTGGGTTCAAAGCAAAAGAGAGAGAGAGAGAGAAATTCATAGAAAAAAATCCTTAAACATAATCTTAGGAATTGAATACAATGCTACAAATTTTCAGGGGTTCCAAAGCTTACGGAAAAAATAGAATTCTTCTTCTTTAGAATTACAAAAGTACAAAGCAAATTTATGTGCTAGTATCCTGATATAGTACAATAACTCAATTTCTAGCATTGTTGAAATCATATCTCTGTGACAGGGATGACGTCCGAAAATTGGTTCACTTTTTTTACAAAAACTATACAGTTTAATTTTTCATGAAACGCTTCATCTATAGTTACATGTAAATAAGATCTCTTATAACCAAGTATAGTTCAAGGCGACATTTAACAAGCAAGTAATAGGATTAATAAATGTAAAGTACATAGTCCATCCCAAATGTATACAGAAACAGCGTTATTAAACAAGGTATTTTGGGGATTTAACGCTGTATCCAATCATGCTAAGAACGTGTCAGACAAACCCCGAAGAAGCTGTGCTTTACAAAAAAAAAAAAGAGAGAGAAATCTCGACAGTGTCTACTGCTTGGCCAACGGCCATTTGCGAAAATAAATTTTGTCGCGCAAGTCCTACACTAGAGCTACAAAACTGTTACCCTGGTGTTTGCTTTCATTGAATTAACTCTTTTAAATTTACAATTCTCCGAGTAAAAGACCAAAAATATATTCAGGTATGTCAGCGGAACATGACGGAGTTTTAAGTGAGATCCGAGCGAAGAAAGAGGGATATAAAAGTTTTGATGGACCTTCACTAGGAGATAAAAATTCAGTGCAGGACCTTTTCACGGGAATTTTTAATTGGTTCCTGTGCCGCCGGAGGAGCAAATCCGATGCCTCGTCAGAGGAAGAAAAAGAGGAGGACTCCCCAGTGCGAACTTTGCGGACTTTGGAGGGTGTTGTGGCACCCGTTGCGCTTAATATGTTCAGTGTTTTGCTCTTCATCAGGATAGGTATGAAGATATTTTCAGTCCAAAGTATGGACAAAAATACAATTGGGCCTCAATAGTTCGGACACAATTATTCGGACGTTTTACTTTCAGGACATTTGTGGACAAGGGAACAAAATTTACATTTATATGTACCAATTAAGATAAGGTTCTTTTTTTAAGTAATCCTTGGGAAACTATCCCGATAAAGAGGGCTCTACTGTAATGTTTCTTTAATGTCTCTGTCCTTCATTATGTATTCTGGATATAAACCTTTCTTATTTACTTTCTTCTCTAGTCCATATATTTCTAACAAAAGAAAAAAAACTACTAAGGTTTGATTATAGTGATATGAAAAAAAAAATTAAAATTAAGGAAAGGAATTACCTCTAATGATTGGAGAATTCTCTTAAACATAAATATACAAAGTATATTTAATCAATAGAATGTTTTCTTTTTTTCTGCAATGCTAACAAAGAAAGAAAGATATTTTAATATATATTTATGTATGTTTAAGTCACAGGCCTTTGGATAGCTTAAAACCGACTTTTAAAAAATGGGGAGTACAAAAAAGACCTTCCAAATTCATGAAAATTTTTTTTGAAAAAAAAAATCTTTCAGGTTAAAAAAAATGTTATTATTTGTTAATCTATTCCTAATGATGTTTTCACCACAGTATTAAATCGATATTCTTACTATTTGTGTATTTATGGTCATCTGGAATTTCCGGGGGTCTTTGTTTTATGTCCTGTTCACAGATTAAATATAGTTTGTATTTTTTATTTTTATTTTTTTTTTTACAAAATCGATCACTGTACGTTATCTTTACGTTTTTTATAAGTAATATGTTAATATTGTTTTCAGGTTTTGTTGTTGGCCAGGCAGGGATCCTAGAGTCAGTGTTACAGCTTGTTTTAGCCTATTTTATCTTGGTGATGACAGTGTTGTCAATCAATGCTATATCAACCAATGGCGCAGTAGAAGGGGGCGGGGCCTACTGTATCCTTTAGAATTTATATCATCTCACTGCATTTGCACATGTTAAAATGAGGAAGAAAACACTTGCCGTATATCGACAACGTTTCATCAATTTAACACGAGTTATTTCCATTCATATGTCGACTCGATACACTATATTGAACTCAAATAAAAGACACCACAAAGTCTGTCACATCTGTTTCGTATTTTACTGAAAATAGACGATAAGGGCTAACTAACAACTAAATTGTGACAAACGAGATGACTTCAGCTTTTCCATAATCAACTTTATTTATTTGTGTAGTAATATTTTTAAACCCAGTCAGACTAGTGATGATAAGTTGATGTTACAGGGATTTAAACATCCTCCCTTAAAATCATTATTTCGTAAATTCTATGGTCGTTATCATGACCATGTTAGCAAAAATAATTATCATTGGGTCATATTTTTAATGAAAAAAATATCATTAAGCGGTTGAGAATGTCAACTATTAATGATATAATTTATGACATTAAGCGTTTAGTGATATTTCTATCATTAAGCGGCGTTTTATCATTAGTGGTTGCTACAGGGCTCACGACGGGTATAATTTCCGGGCGGGCTTTTTTATTCCCTATTTCACATATGTATTGTTTGTAGATTTTTGGTGATCGATCACTGTTCGTTATCTTCATCTTTAATCAAGGACAATAAATTAACATCTAGACTCTGGAGACATCACAAATTATCAGGTCCGATAAGGGGTTGTCACCCTCGGGCGCAAGCCTACTCAGACCTGGTGATTTGTGAATAGTCCATAATTGTATGCTGCAATCCTTATTTAAACTCAGATATGATAAGCCGTGCTTTGGGCCCTGAGTTCGGGGGAAGCATTGGTTTCATATTTTTTGTGGCCAATCTTTTAGCTGTGAGTCTGTCTGTGTTTGGTTTAGTGGAAGCCATGATCGAGAATTTCGGACCGGATGGTAATTATTGATCAATTGTAAATTAATTGTATGTGTACAACTTTAACGCAAGTGTGAATTTTCACTGAATGTGATTTCATAGAGCACTTGCTTAAGATGATCATGTTCTACTTTATATTCCAATACTTAAATTCACATTAACGATCACTACTGAGAGATATATTACTTATGTAAAGTCCAGTATAAATATAGCTGTAAGATGGACACAAATGTCAATGAGATAAAGCCTTGATAAATTTCTGGCCCAACAGTTTTTATGACAACTTTCCCTTTAAATGAATCATGTTTCCAATAAAAATAATATAACTTTTGACATTCTTAAAACTTTATCATGAACACCTTCATGTGTTTAAAAAAAGAAATTCCAAACATAAAAACTACTTTAATTGGATAATGGTAGTGACGGCCTGAGAGTGCCTAAAAAAACAAAAACACTTTTACTTCTGATCAATCACCCTTGATTTTTTTAATGTTTATTTTTTCAACAGTTTTTGATGTGCGAACAAATTTCTTTTTTTAAGCTGAAAATTGGCCCCAACTGGCATCCGGAAGTGACATTTTCAATCGATAAAAAAAAATTAAAAGTTTTAGTATGTGTCAGATCCGAAAATACAGAAAATCAAGCGATCCATTTCTGAGAACAAACACTCACAGAGTCAGTTAAGAAATATAATTAGTGAAAAAGAAACCAAACATTAACATAAAGGTCTTCAGTTGAGATGAAAGACCAAAAGAAAATGTATTTATTTATCTAGTAGACTAAAATAAGATATATTTTCTTTATTATTGACAGGTTCGTCGATAGACCATCCATTTTTAAAAGGTGACCATGATTTTTGGTACAAGTACTTGTACTGTACAATAGTCCTCATTGTGTGCCTAGGTATCTGTATTGTTGGAGCTGACATGTTTGCCAAAACATCGCTGTTTATATTTTTGGTAAGTACTATGAGTACTATGAGAATTTACTGTATGAAAAAGAAGAAGGTCATGTGTTCTGTTCCTTCGACAAGCGCTTGGCACTTTGATGTGAAAGTTGCGGGTCTTACGAATGAGACCTTAAAAACCGAGGCCCCGTGTCACGGTAGATGTTGGCACCTGCACATCTTTGTATTGTGACAAAATAGAAATGATGTCACAGTGTAAAGAACTTGGTAAATAGTAAATTGGAAATGAAAGTTAAAATTGTCAGAGTGTGTCGGATTGTACAGTGTAAAGAACAAGGGGAATAATAAAGTTGGAATGAAAATATATATAGGTCGAAATTCACAGTGAATCAGATTGTACAGGTGCCAGAATATACATATTTTACTGTATTCCATAATGAGAATTTTATGTAGATACTATATCTAAATTAGATACACTTATATCTATGTACATGTAATTGTACAATTAATGATTGATTGATTGTATGTTGATTTTTATGTTCCATTCGATAATTTTTTTACTCATATTGAGACATCACATTTTGTCGGTTAAGGACTTCAAATTTAGGCCTTTACTCGGCACTCGGGACCATTCTTTATCCTGCCAATGTCTACCTTGAGACGGGGCCTCGGTTTTTAATGTCTCATCCAAAAGTCTTCTGACTTTCACTTTCAATGCCGGGCGCTGGCGAAGGAACAGTCAGTACCTATGTTCACGTCTTATGTTTGACGCGGCGCGGGGACCGAGATTTGAACCCGGGCTCCTAAACGCGAAGTGAATGCCCTACCACTAGGCTACCGTAACCGGTGTACCATAAATGATCTACATGTACATTATTTCAATTAAAATAGAACTGAAAGAAGGAGATAACAGAATTATATGAATTGTAAAAATAAGTCTATAATTGTTTACAGATAAGATACATGAGAGTGTTGCAACTTATGGAATAAAATAAGGTCATGAAAAAATACAGTGAAACCTATATAATCCAATATGCACTGAGACACAAATTACGTGTCAGAATAGACAGTGTGTTGGATTGCACAGTGTAAAACATGGAAAATATAAACCGAGGGTGAAAATTAAGGGTAAAATTCTACGTAAAACGGATTGCACAGATTTACTGGACATTTTTTTCCCTTAAAGTGCTTATTTTATATAATAAATTAATATTTTAATGCAACCGTTTTGTAAAACGCATTTTGATTGGCTAATACACTGAGGTTTTAGGCAGTTAAACGAGCATTAACGGTAAAACTCAGTTTGCGACCGTTAAATTGGCATTAACGGTCGCAAATACAGTTATTCCCTAATCATAGTGTTCAATTTATATTTGTAGATTGTTGTTATATGCCTCCTTTCTGTATTTGTGAGTGTGTTTGCCAAAAGCTCAACAATACCGATAGAATATGCACAGCAGGCGCAGTATATTCATGGAAAAATAAACAGTTCCCAGTACTGCCACGGCGTCAATGCCAGTGGCTTTGTACAAGAATCAGCAAACTACACTGGACTAAGGACCGCGACTTTCCGTCAGAACATGTTTTGTAAGTTTGTTGATTTTTACCCACCTACCTGTCTGCACATTTTTAAATTCACTGCAAGAAAACTCATCTTTGTAAATAAAATTTTAATGATATTAAATGACATATCATCTTACAAACGGTGATCTTAAACTTTTTATTTGAGGCATTATGAATAATTATGAATTTTTTATTTGTTTTTGATTTTGTTTGTTTGTTTGTTTTTTCTTTGTTACTATCATGCTAGCGAAGGTTAAATACTTTTATATGCAATGAGGCTTTCACATATTTTGGTATGTGTCTTTACCCTCGTGAATCATGGATCATTTTACATTTTCTCTTTGATGATATTTGATGGTATTCAAGGCTTGCCTGTAGGAGAATAAGATAGGTGTTTCAATACTCTTAGAAGGTTGTTTATTTCATTATTGTCTTTCATTGTCTTGTCATTCACTTAGAGTAAGTAATCAAATTGGAGTTAGTTAATATGTTAATCTTCTCAATTGATATTCCTAGAAAAGAAGAAGTTGGTTTTAAGTGAAAATGTATTGTTTTGCATTTCTCAATTATAAAGCATTATACATTGAAACCTATCTAATCCATCAGGTATCTGGATACAAATTTTGTGTTTCAGAATAGACAGTTTGTTGGATTGCAAAGTGTTAAAAAAAGGCAAAAAAAAAACAAAACACACACACACAAAAAAAAAAACACAAAAAAACAATAGTAAAGTGGGAATGAAAATGAATGTCGGAATTCATGGATTTCATAGGTGGAAAACTAGACAGTTTTGACTGTATTAGACTCTTAGAGCATTGAATTCAGCGTAAAATTCTTCAAATTTTTCAGCACATTACCAGAGGGATTACAGTTCTATGAATATGATGACATTCACCTCTGTATTCTCCATTCTGTTTTGCTGTGTGACTGGAATTCTGACCGGAGCAAATATGTCAGGTCTGTAAACACCACAAAATGAAAACTTAAAAGTCAATGGTTCATTTTTATTAATCATCATCATTATGTTTTATGGAATTGAGAGCATAATTTGTTTTATTTGATAATATGATATGTGATTTAAATTCAGAATACAATCAATGCATGAAAAAAATGGGGTTCTGAGCGGAAAAGTCAAATTAATTTCAATATGAGCATAGATAAAAAGATATAATAATATAACTGGAACAACATTTTTTTTGGGGGGGGGGGGGGGTATTTTATTTTGTTTTTTAATTTTTTATTTTGTTTGTTTGTTTTGTGGTTTTCTTTGTCCTTTTCTTCATTAATTACAGGTTGTTGTTTTTTTTTGTTTTTTTTTTTGTAACTATCAACAATATGACATTTTACAGATTATTTACGTATTATACTAGGATTCCAGACAGAACTATGAATAAAAAAAATCTGTTTTTCTTTTTTTTTCAAAGGAGAATTAAAAAACCCTAGTAAGGCAATACCTCAGGGGACACTTGGCGCTTTGATGCTGACATTTACGACATACTTCATTGAAATAATTCTGGTTGGAGGTTCGTGTGATAGGTAAGCATTAAAATTACTACTCCTTTATGGAACAAACATTACTTAAGATTGTCAGAGTATTCGATCAATTTTAATTAAACTTGGTAAACAAGTAGAATTCGCTAAGATACACAAACCATATACTAATTCTGTTTTTGTTTCTCGATGTTATATGCGATATTGTTAGAGTTATTAAAAAACATATCTTTAAATTTATCAAAAAACCTACAGGTTTGGAACAATTTCAATAAGGTTTGCTGCCCACCCAGACTATTCCAATATAAGGCTGTATATGCTTATTATTTCAACAAAAGAAGTTGCCAGGAAATACAAAAAAGCGAAATTCTTTTTAAAAAAAAAACCCATCTTCCTACAGTTTTATCTGGATTCAGTAAATCTGAATGCTATACTGAGACTCATAATTTTGATTATATGGCAAAGATTTTTCAGATAGTGTTCCCATGTATACTAAATATATGAAAAAATTTTAAAATTCTTTCAAAATGATAATTTTAGAAAATTATTGGCATGATTTAAATAAAAAAAAATTGGTACACGCTGAAAACACAATATTTGTAAATACAAAATTTGAAAAAAAGATTAAAGTCTATGTTTCACGTTCCTCTTTCGCTATTATCTAAAACCCAGCAGAGTTTTTTTCTTGAAATAGTCACTTCTGGTTAATGACAGCAAACGTTACTCAGGTGAGCATTGTGACCCGTTTTCCTCTTGTTCTATTACAGATGCCTTTTGCTGAACAACTATGTCTTTCTACAAGAGATCAACCTCTGGAAACCTTTCGTACTGATAGGAATATTTACTGCCACTTTATCTGCTGCTCTGGGAAACCTCATTGGAGCCTCCAGGATTCTCCAGGCCCTGGCAAACGATCGTTTGTTCTGTGGGTTCTATATGCTATAAAATTACTTATTTCTGTGGGTTCAATTTCTTATAGTTTGAGGGAAATATTGATTTGTGGGGATGATTTCGTGCATTTTTTGGAAAAGTGTAGAAGTGGTTTAATTAAAATTTCAAAATATTTTGTGATAATAAAAATATTTGGTGGACATGAATTCATAGGTTTGTATAAACCATGAACACTATGAAAGTAAAAAAAAAAGAGGGAAATAATTGATTTTAAAAAATGCTTTGAAAATTAAAATGAATTAAACCTGGAAAATGTCAACATCTGTTGTAATGAGCTGCCTCAACTAAATGTATGCTGTATTTTTAGGGTTTGTTTTGAATCCTGCAACCATCACCACAAAGTCAGGGAATCCTTATGTTGCAGTCCTTATATCATGGTTTCTTATACAAGTAAAATAATCAGTTTTATCTTAACATCGAGATAAGAAAAAATACTAGAAGCGATAAATATCAACAAATTAGCATATTTACAAGTGATAAAAAAACAGTGTTCAGAAAATGACATGCAATAATGCTTGTAATCTCTTTCTTTGCTAGTTGGTACTGCTAGTCGGTTCACTTAATGCGATTGCTCCTGCCACCTCTGTGTTCTTTCTGATGTCCTACGCTTCAGTAAATTTGGCTTGCCTGGCCTTGGAGCTAGCAGCAGCACCAAACTTCAGGTAGGAATATTAGTACTCAACAGAAGAGTATTTTCAGCTGAATGTCTCTTCTGTTTTCTATCTTTACCAATGATATATATTAATATTAATCTTTTTTGCTTGTTATTAATAATTTCATTCTAAACAGGTTTTGTAAAAGCATTATGGAAAATTATGATAATTGATTCATTTTTTTTAAATAATAGATGCTCATTCCTATATGGTCACAGTGTGAAATGAAGTCATTTTATACCCAGCGAATTATGATTATTGATAGCATAGAAAACAGGTTACGATCTGTCCACCAAATATTTTACAGGCCTACACTATGTACTGGAAAAATTTACATTAAAAACTCATGCTTGACACAGGAATTGATTATGACCTGAGAGTTAAACTTGACCTAATCCAAGGTTATTTGAACAAGTTCAAGACCTGGTTTAAAATCTGTTGGATTCTTGTCCATTCCATAACTTAGTAACAGAGTAACACTAGAAACCCATACTTGACGTAGATTTCCTATTACCTTTGAGTGTGATATGATCTTGATCCAAGGTTATTTGGACAAGTTCGAGTTTACTGAAAAAAATGTATAACCCTTTCTGTGCCATATCTTTGTAAAAGACAAAAAAGTGAAGAAAAGCTGATTTATGACCAGAAATTTGCCATAACTTCACCTCATGGTAATTTATACACGCCCAGATCACGGAAAGAAATATAGATAACTGTAATAAATACCACAAGAGGATAATAACAGGATATCAAACTTATTGCTTGAACATATCATTATGTGAGTTCGCTCACAGTACCTCTAGTTTCTTTTTGAAGGACAATCACCTATAAGAGGAGAGTTTTAAAGGACTGCCTTGGTTCATGCCTAGATATTTTTATTTTCAGACCCACCTTTAAATACTTCTCGTGGCACACATGTACATTAGGTCTGATAGGCTGTATAGTGATGTGTTTTCTGATCAGTGCCATCTACACCTCAGTAGCCATTATTGTGATGCTCGTACTGACTATCATCCTTTACTTCCGGTCACTTCCAGCACAGTGGGGCTCCATAAGTCAGGCTCTTATCTTCCACCAGGTGAGGTTTCAAGTACAATTATTCCTGTCGAATCGGACATATACTGGGACACAAATCTCTTCTGTTGATTCGATACGCAAGATGTACAACTTCTAAAACGAGGTAAATTGTTGACAAACAAGTTGATGAAACAAGAATATCAGCAGTCTCGTTTAAAGTCATCATTCCGTAAGTTCTATGGTCGATACAATGACCTTGTCAGCAAATACAATTTATCATTGAGTCAAATGCTGACTGACGTTTTTCATACTAATTGTTAGGCCATTAGATACAAACTGAATTGTCGACGGATTTTTCCGTAATTTCCCGATCATGACAAGTAGCACACGGCGGGTGTGACCGGTCGGCAGGGGATGCTCAATCCTCCATGGCACCTGATCCCACCTCTGATGTTTGGAGGTCCGTGTTTGCTCTGCTCCTATTTTGTAATGTTTAATGGACTTTTGAGCTTGAATACTGTTCGTTATCTGCATATATGCCGTTGTATGAATACAGAGGGTATATGATTCCACGGTGTAAAGAACATAGAGAATACTAAGTAAACATGGGAGTGAAAAAAATGAAGGTCAAAATTCACAATGAAAAGAAATGCATAAGTCCTTGAATAAACGTTTTCAAACTGTATATCTATGAGTACAATTTTTTATCATTCAATTGTTTAAATATACAGTCAAAACTCATTATCTACAACTAGGTGGTATCAAGAAAAAAAAAGAGATTTACGATAGTTTGAGATATTAAGGTTGAAATACATTAAGGAAACTGGTAGAAACTTCCAACTCACTTTGAAATATTCATTGGTATTCGAGCTATCGATCTTCAAGATTAAAAAGTTCAGCTGTGCATAAAAGAAAAAGTTTTTTTACCAATCAGAATGTTAAGACCTATTAGGATAAATTTTTTCGCATGTATGTGTCCACAAAAATGTTGTATAACTGGATATTAGTATTCTTTAGATTTCATTCATTAAATTAAGAAGGTGCATGCACAAAGCTATGTTTTTACTGCAGAAGCAATTTTCTAGCTGGACAAATGTTTGATATCAATACTCTACTTTAATGCATGATGTTCTATAAATGAACGTATGTTTTTGAAAAGTATTGAAAAAATATATAACCCTGAGGAATTCAAAAAAAAAAAAAAAAAAAAACTAAGAACTACAACCATAAATACAATTCTCTTTTCTGCTTGAACTTTCGGTAAGGCGTGACATTCTCGGCGATACATTATTCTCATTGGTTAAGAAATGAATAACATTAGCAACTTTAGATTGTTGTTAACAAACAATGAGATGACATAAACCACATCTCTTTATTGTAAGAAACGATGTAATTGGTTCCTTGCGTCACTCGTTGACGTCTGACCATTTTTTATCCCATGTGTATTTCACCCGTGTAATGAAAGCTGTGTAAATTACAGTATTGATGAGCTAATCTGGTAACCAATGAGAATCTAGGTCACTATTTGAGAGAAGCCATGAATATCACGCCTTACTGAAAGTTCAAGCAGAAAAGAGAAATATACTATAACCATTATATTATGTAGGTGAGAAAATACTTGCTGATGCTGGATTCAAGGAAGGACCACGTCAAGTACTGGCGTCTGCAAATCTTACTTATGGTGTCTAATCCAAGACAGTGTTCAGAACTCATCCACTTTATTAATGACATAAAGAAAGGTGGATTGTTTGTGATTGGCCATGTCAAACTAGGATCCCTTGATTCGTATTCTGAAGATCCAATTCTGGATGAAAATCCAAAATGGATGGGTCTGATAGATCATCTTAAAGTAAAAGCATTTGTGGAGGTGACCCTTGCTAATACTGTTTCAGAGGGTCTACAGCACTTACTGAGGTTATCTGGAATGGGAGGCATGAAACCTAATACTGTCTGTTTGGGTTTTTTGGATGATGCTAAACCAAAAGATATGCTAAGTATTAAACGTACAGGAAGGAAGCGGAGCTTTTTTACACGCTTGGATTATAAAAAAGAAAACATTGAAAATCTGTTCATGAATATTAGGGATGAAGCTGATCCAAGACATTTGACTTCTTTAGAGTATGTCAAACTCATTTCTGATTCATTGAAGATGCAGAAGAATGTATGCTTATGCAGACATTTTGATCAGTTCAGTAAGCAATGTATTGTACAATCAAAAACGCAGCTTTTCATTGATGTTTGGCCAATGAATATCTTTAGGCCTGACTCTGCCACCTTTTTCGAGAACGCCTGCCTTTTTATGCTACAACTGGCCTGTATTCTAACCATGGTACCTGACTGGAAATCCAAAACAAGTCTACGAGTCTTCTTGTGTTTAAATTCACAGACGGACAACGCCTTCCAAATGCAGAAGAAATTAGACTTTTTTCTCCAGCAGCTCAGAATTCAAGCTTCCGTGAAAATTGTCACCTTGGATCTCTTGGTACATTATATGCCCGTAATGTCTGTTAATAATAGCAATGGAAGTTTAAAATCGATGGAGAAATTCAGCCCAGTCCCCGAAGAATTCATTCGTGCAATAAACCAGATTATTATTTCTTACTCCAGTACAACTGCAGTGAGTTTCCTGTACCTCCCTATCCCTCCATTGGATACTGGAGATTATGAGACCTATCTAAACAGCTTGGAAATGCTGTCAGAAAATCTTCCTCCCACGTTGTTTGTGCATGGGTTACACCCTGTTACATCTACTACTCTTTGATTGTTAAATATTCTAGTTAAATAGATACATAGGTATGGAGTGTTTTAACAAACATGTACCAACACTGAGTCCCTATATTTGTAATATAAATAAGGGATGTCAACGAGTACTCGATCGAACGTCCGCGTATCGAATACTAAAATCGGTACTCGGTTACTCGGATGTAATTTTTTTCGTATTTCAAAGTGTATATATTTGTTAAAAACTTATCAAAAATATGTTTTAAATATGCATTGTCCATGCACAGTAATTACAGTGTAGCGTCACCTACACCTGTTAATACCCGTTATTGCCTGTGATTGTGTACATGTGTATAAAGTAATTACCGTGACCAATCACTGGACACCGTACACAGCTGTTCTTACCTCTTGTGACCCTAATTTTTTGGCTTTATTTATTTGTTTTCAATAAACATCGTTAAATTATCCTTAGATCTTTTAATTAGCATACGGTAGCGAAATCGGACATACATAGAAATACCGCTACCAATTCAAAAGTGAAGAAATATTAAAAAAAATAACCGAAGATTAAAACAAAGCTAAAAGTCAGCTGTACATAGTAAATTTACCGGGGAAAACAACCATATATTTAAGGAATCACTGTCTAGTTTGTTGGGTATGCCAGGGCATCAACGGCGATTTTAAACGTTGAATTATTAAAGCATAACGGGCGAAGTTGTAAATATCGAGAAATCAACATGCTTAACTTTCAGAGTTATCACAAAGAAAACATTTGGGAATGTAAATAGTATATGACATTCGATAACGACAACGTCCATTCCCAAATATATTCTCTTTCGGTAGTCTAATCATTACATAGTTGCGTCCCTCTCTTCCGTTGATCAAATTGTCTTCCTAAACAAAAACTGTAAAGCATTTGTAATCGTTGGTGTATTAATTGATCAGTCTTTTGTGTTTGTTGGATACATAACTTAAGTACCAAAAATCGTTTTCGTTGGGCTCAGTGTTTATGTACATGCATTATTAACGAAACATCGATGGGGTAAACAGGTCTCAATAAAATCAACAAACTTGTACATGTATACACACTTTTTCCGAGTACCAGAGTACTCCAGGAAAATCGTTCGAGTAACCAATTATCAAATATTAACCGATTTGACATCCCTATTTTAAATGTAAATTCTATTACCTATATGCTTATTCTACTTTTATGTTAAATGTGTATTAGAATACGAATGTACAATGATTTCATGTACCAGTTTTTATTATTGCAATACATGATTATAAATCTAGCAATCTGAATGTGATTAAATCCTGTTTTTTTTCACATTTATATCAATCTTATGATAGTGTAAAAGGTCAAGATAACGAACAATGATGAATCTCATAAATTCAATAAATAAAAGTAATCGTGACAAGGGCAATTAAAAGGGTCCCGGAAATGCCAAAGGTTGGATCAGGTGCCAGGAGATCATTCATTGATAGTTTATCATATCCAAGCCTTTGTATTTCAATGCCTTTTGGCCAAGTATATTTCTCACAATGCAAGAGACGCTTTTAGAGGCATAGCATTATTGACATTGTTCAGCGGCAAACATGGGCTAAGGGAATATGAAAAATCGAGATATGCCGGAGTACAAGTTGGTGAATAACTTTTGCCAATTTCTTAATTATGAATTCTCCATATTTGTTGAAAATAAAACATTAGAATATGGCAAAACTACAGATGTCATTATTACAAAATATCATACTTTCTTGTAAATTAATTAAATCTGATTCGTCGAGAAACATTTGTTAAAAAATAGTATTACCCGCTGAATAATGAAGCCACGCCCTCCATCATAACAACAGTCAACATTGCTTGACAACGGGTGATATTCCAAAAAATATTGACTGCGCAGAATTTATGCGCGCAAAGTACACTGTAATTATGTATTTGTATAAAACATTCAGTATAATATAATAAATATTGCATGTAGTAAAGTGTAACATTGAAAATTTTCACCCTGCGCCTCGGTTGACGATGGTTTTCTTGGGGTGAGAATGTTCAATGTTAAACTCAACTACATGCAATATTTATATAATAAGAACTTGACGAACTCTTAGATGCTGAAATAACAGTGTATCTCGTAACAAAAACAAGAACAAGACTAAGGGTGTAAATGATAATTAAGTCTTTTTTTTAAGCTGTGGGTGTATATTAAATAATAAAATGGACAAACCGCGGTAGTAGTTATAAAAATCGTAATATAAAAAGGGAGGTAACTACAAAAATTAGAACATTACATTGTGATACAATGAATTCTTCACTGCTTTGTGATTGGAAATTATTTTTATCCAATTAAATGCATCTTTTTAAAAAGTATGTTCAAGTGAAAGATAACAAAGGGTTAATATTTATTTTATTAATTACAGCAAAATTGATAAACATGACGTATATAAAAGATTGAAAAATTCTATGATTTCTTAATAATAAATGTATATGATATATAAAATATAATTAACGCGTAACACATTTATTTATCAAGAGTCCTCCATAAGAAGGGAAGAGTTCTGCAGCGACTATTCCATCTCTGAAATTAAGATTTTCTAAATACATGTCATACAGCAACATGTATAATTCTTAATGATATCGCTCAATTCTGTTACTACAATCGGAAAGTGCTTCAGAAAGGTGTTTAACGCTGTGAACACGTTGGATATTTAGCGATGGAATTAACATAATAAAACCCCTAGTATTCTATCACAGAATACACAGAAAAAGATAGGATGGTCACGTTAGTTTCTCAATAATATAATAAATAAACATCTTTTTGAGTTAACTTAAATATACAATAATCCAGGTACATTGAGCCGAGGGTGTTTGTCTGAAGGAACACCGAATCGTACAAAGGAGAGGTCCATGGGAAAAATGATTTTCTAAATGATTTTCTGGAGAATAATTATAAAGGCAATTTTGTCTTTTCATAATTAATTCCCTTTAAGGCGGACGTGGTCCTTAATTTGAATGAAAAAAAAATGAAGATAACGAATAAGATAGATAAAAAAAAACACAAATCTATGAACAGGGCTTAAACACGACCTCCTTGAATTTTCAGGTGGGATCAGGTGTCTAGGAGTAGTAAGCGTCACCTGTCGAGCGGTCACATCTGCCGTGAGCACTATGTGAGGTTCATTTGAACGGAAATAAATTGAACAAATTTGAAACCCCTTTACTAGGGGAAATTTCTATTCCTTCATTCATTTCGCCGTGGCTGTCCTCTAGTTAGACACCCTAGACTACGTAAACCACTTTTTAATCCGGTTTATTACGATACTGCCCCCAAAAAAGGATCACTTTAAGTATGTCTCTACTTAAAATGACATCATTATTTACAGTCATGTTTACATGACATTGAAAATGATGATGATTATAGAATAAAATTATTGTAGATATTGGTTCTGATGATACTGCACATTGTGTATTTCACTGCATGTCTAAAAGGTCTTGACATCAACTACGTTCACACAACACAATATTGCATTTATACATATAATGTAGCATTCTATAAATGTATTACATTTGGCTGTGTATTCCATTTAGGGCTTGACTTTTTGCAGAGAGTAACTTCTGTTAAATTTAGACAATCGCTAAATGTCAAATAGATGATAAGATATGCATTCAGAAATACGCTAAATCAACGCTAGGTGAAAAATATTTCCCGCCAACGATTGTGTACGATTAATATAATACATTTATATTTTTAATTCTCCATTTAGTGAACTTTCCCCTCCAGTTTTCATTTTCATAAGTTTAAGAAAGGAAGTTGACCCATTTCATGAATTTATAACGTAATATCTTATAATAAATAAATATAATAGTTAATTTGCTATAATTTGTGTTCAAAATGGCTACTTTTATTTTGCCTTGTAGAAATCGTGTGAAAGAATGGGGTATACCTTTTTCAGAGATTTTTGTCTGAAATGTAACCATTCACGTTATGTATTGTAGGGGCTTTTAAATTACTCTAATAAATACAAGAAAAAAAACCCACTACGATTACCTTACCAAAGGACAATCAAACTAAAACATTTTAAAATATGCATTACAAAACCTCAAAAGTTTTATAAATGACATTGTTGTGTTGCAAAATATTCTGAAAACAATGTGAATGTAAATTAGCCGATGAAGCTACGTATACATGTCGCAGGCTCACGGTCTTGCTTTGCCAATATTAGAACAAAACTTAAATATTAAATATTGTAATTCATTCATGGATATAGAGAGAGAAAAAACAGGCATCCAGTATTAAAGTCAGATTGAATCGATCTAAGTTGAACAAATATACCATCTGTTACAGTAAACGCACAAAAGCTTGGGGTGGAGAATTTGGCGGGTTTCTTACTTTTTATAGGCCACGGGTTCGTAAAACATGCATAAAAATTACTATAGTGGAATCCATTGGTCCATGACAGGTCACTGGTCAGTCATGCGTATAGGGATGCTAAAAATAGAAATTCACCAGTACAAAACAGAACACTCGCACATGGCACTCACACACCTGCAAAACCGGTTGTATTCGATTGGCAATGCGCGCCGATCGGAATACGGTACTAAATATTGCGCAAAGCATATATTTAATAATAATAATAATTTAATTGCAGCTGTGACACATGGTATGAATCTATTCTATTTTATTTAACATTCTTTATAATCTTATTTAGTTTTTCCACCACTGCATCAAACTGGAATCGATTAGTAGGTTCCTTTTCCCAACACTTTAACATCAAATCGTAACAGGCTTTTGGAGTCCCTTTCGGAGAAGGCATGCGGTATCCTGTAAAAAAAGATTTGCAAAAAATAATGGAGGGAAAAATTATGTCTTTTATCTAATACGTTAGCTAGTATAATGGAGTATATACGCAAACATATGTTCAACACATATTCTTCATTTCAGTTTGCTAATTATAATAGTGTCAATTAGTAATTACCCATTAAAAAACTTATTTATAGGACAAAGGTTATCCATTTCCCAAAGCCAAAGGTTTGGGTTATTGTTTTCATGATCTAATGTTGCTCAATTCCATACTTCTGATTTTCCAATGACAATTGTGCGTCGTTTGTAAACTTTTTTTTTAAATTTCATCTTTTTCTCCGAAACAACTACGGCCAATGACACTTTTATTTGCCACAATTTTTCTGTGCATGAAGGGATTTCGTTATTTTATTTTCTTCGTTTTTCAAGAAAATATGATAATTCCTGAACATAGATAATTCGTATATTTTTATATAGGATATGCCTTAAAGAGTATTCCTACATAAAAATTTTGACTCCCAATTGCGGCCCTATTCTCCCCCGATTGAATTAACAATTTTAACCTTTGAAGGGGTAAGTTTTCGCATATGTTAAGTTTTTCTGGCTGAGTGGTTCTTGTATAGAACTTTCTGAAGGTAGCCACCAATTACTTCCTATATAGTATAGCGAGTATTTGGTGGTATACTTTCAAAAAGATTTTTGGATGCATAGATTTCATATAAATAATGGGGGTCAGCAGCTTTTATACAAGCATTTTAATTTACCTGATCATTCTATTTTGTCAATGAAAGTTAGAATTCTAGAAAAGATTTACCACCACACAAACAGTCCATCACTGAGTACACCTTTCCGTAGACAGCGAGAAGAATTTTGGATTAGAAAACTAAGGACAGTCTTTCCCTATGGATGTAATGACAATGTCGATAGTGTTGGAAATCTTTCCAGCCCACAGTGTATCAATGTAAATGTGATGAGACTTTTCAACCATACAGAGACACGTAAGCGTAGTCATGGGCATCGGTCTTACAATAAACCTTTAATACACGATGTCTCTTTTGATTCATTACTATCTTATGTAAATCAACAGTTAGGTCTACATCATATTCCAACCAAACTTTACTATGTCCCTTTGAAACTTTTAAACAGTCTTCTTGAAGAGGTCAATGAAAGTCCATTTTTTGATTCCTCGACACCAGAATATAGGCTCGGATCTGTGATTATGGATATTGCAAATCATAGGCTTTTTAAACCCCCACGTTTTACTGAAGAAAATAGAACTAAAAAAATCCTTTTTTTCCTTCAACTTAAATATGCCAACAAAGGAATTGACGCGGTTAATATAAGTAATATTCTTAATCACAAAAGAGTCCAGTCTTGTATTCCACCATATTTCAAGTTAAAGACTACACCTTGTAATTCCTACAAATATATCGACTATCCAAACTTTTTAATTACAAGAAAAAGTTATAGGGCCTGGATATCGAATATCTGAAACATAATCCTCCATCATGTTCATGTTCTTCTTCACAATATAACTACAGTCCTGCTGGACACTTTATTACGGTGACGTAAATATAGTTAATAATGAGGACCTTAGATCATTAATTTTTAAAGGTCCTAAATATAGGGAACCCTGATCCTTCCCCTGGCGTCGGAATTTCATAAATATTATGAGTTCTGTAGAGGATTACGCCAGGCGATGGGCCAGACATGAAAAAAAAAGACCTTGACACTTTGTCAGAATGGATTAAGTGTATCAAATGTCTGTTAAAAGATTGAGGGGCAATTTGAGAACCATCTATCCTTCTGTATTCAATAATACAAAACTGAAAAAAGAATCAGATAGATTACTTGATCAGTACGTACTGGTCCCTGCTGACAAAGCAGGTAACAACATTATCTTTGTTTGTAAAGGCTCATTATAATAAATGTATTTTAGAAAAACTTGGATTTAATTCTACAAGTGGTAATCCAACTTATACTCATAGTTCCCTTTCTAAGGAAGAAATTCTTCAAAATCATATGTCAGTTTTGTATATTTTTAATATTTCAAACAACCAAAATGGATTTGAATTACCAAATCTATATTGGATTCCGTAACTTCATAAAAATCCTTACAAACAAAGATACATACCGGGTTTCAGTAAATGTTCAACCAAGCCTCTTTCTTCACTCCTCACTAAGATATTAACAGTAGTGAAGGAGAAACTTCAAGAGTACTGTGCAATAATATATTCGAGAAGTGGTGTAAATCAGATGTGGATACTTAAAAATTCCAAGGAACTTTTGGAAAATTTGAAATCACAAGAATTTACCAAAATCAACAGCTTAAAAACTTACGACTTTTTCAACTTTATACACAATCATTCCCCACGGTAAATCAAAGTCCAGACTTTTTGATATCATTGAAAGCTGCTTTTTCAATAAAATGGAACTCGTAAATTTACTTACCTTGTCATTGGTCATTTGCAAAATTATTTTGGTTAAGAAACACATTCTGATTGTACACACAAGTACTCGTAAGTTGACATTAAAAAGATGCTTGAGTTGCTGATTGACAATATCAATGGATATTTCCATTCTTATGTGGATACGATATATCCCGGTGAGCTTGAGATAAAAGATACCACAGAGTCTGACACATCTGTATCATATTTGGATATTTTACTTGAAAAAGACGTTAATGGTAATCTAACAACCAAGCTTTATGATAAACGTGATGACTTTAACTTTTCAATCGTCAACTTCCCTTACTTATGCAGCAATATACTCTGATCATCTGCATACTGGGTTTATATCTTTCAGTTGATTCGATACGCAAGAGCATGCTTCTAAAACGAGGTATATTATTGACAAACAAGTTGATGAAACAAGAATATTAGCAGTCCCGTTTAAAGTCATAATTTCGTAAGTTCTATGGTCGATACAATGACCTTGTCAGCAAATACAATTTATCATTGAGTCAAATGCTGACTGACGTTTTTCATACCAATTGTTAGGCCATTATTTACACACTGAATTGTCGACGGACTTTTCCGTAATTTCCCAATCATGACAAGGAGCACACGGCGGGTGTGACCGGTCGGCAGGGGATGCTCACTCCTCCATGGAACCTGATCCCACCACTGATGTTTTGGAGGTCCATGTTTTCCGTAATTTCTCTGTTCCTATTTTGTATTGTTTAATGGACTTTTGAGCTTGAATACTGTTTGTTATCTCCATATATTTCATGCAAATAACCCACAAAGTCGTAATATAGAAAGTTAGCTTACTTATATAACACCCTGTATTAATACTTTTTTCAGTATGTTTTGCAGGTACTTGAATTATACGAATTTTGGTATGTTGTGTGCAAATAAATGGAACTATGTTAATTGTTAATATTGATTCTCCTACCAAGTTTTAAAGAAATAAACTGTACCTTCAGTTACTTTTTTCACGGTTTCCTTTTGATTCATATCAGCGTAAGGTAGTAGTCCAGATGAGAAGACCTCCCAAATTAAGATCCCAAAACTCCAGATGTCACTGAAGAGTGTGAATTTCTCTGTATGAAAAACAATGAAAACTATCGTGTAATCGCTTATTGTGAAGTGCCAGTAACATTTTTGATGCATTAGAAAGATGATTCATTTTATTACATTTTCAACAGTGAAATATCAAAGTGATATTTTTTTTCAAGTGTAATAAAAATATCAAAAGTGAGGCAAAAGTCTCGATTTTCCTTCCACTTTCTCTGTATTGTTGTAAAGAAAAAATACTCCCCAGCTTGTTATAAGATAGCGATAATAAACTTATAATCCTAAAACAGCCTTTCTCTAATTTGTTGTTAAAATCGATTTTGTTTACAATTTTCAATCTCATAATGGCTTAGCTATGACGTCTTACAACTGCTCAAGTACGAATCCAGCCTACGACACTGCGTTATAGATAGACAGTGGTAAAGGGAAAATGAAACAAAATGTAATAAACAGAAGATTCAATGTTTTGAAGTTGAATAAGGAATTCATTTCACTCGTGAAACAAGATTTTTTTTATATTTTTACTCATGCTTTGCACTCGTGAAAATATAAAAAAAATCATGTCATGTTATCATCAAATGATTTTTGAACAAATTGTTATTTTATTTCATTTGGTTTTATCATTTTATTCAATTGTTTCTCACACACACACGCACACACACAATTTACGTGAGAGAATGGTCTCTGGTGATGTCCACCTCACAGGAATTTTCCTTTGTGTACCACTTATATGATATTCGTCTCCCGTTTCTGCCATCCAAAAGTTAAAGATCTTAACCCTAGAGTCTTCTTCACTTACTAAACAGTTTCTTGCTGCAAGGTCTCTATACAATTAAGAGCATATAAAAAAGTGAGGGGAAATGGAAGAAATTCAGTTGACGAAAAACCTTATATCATTGAAAAGATAAAATCGGGAATCGTAAAATCCTTATACTTATTCGCTCCTCTCTAATTCTTTTTTGCATTAGAAATATTACTTCTGCAACCTAGAAGCGACAAATGATCAAGACAATGAGCACATGGCGGGTGTGACCGTTCGTCAGGGGATGCTTACTCCTCCTTGGCACCTGATCCCATCTCTGATGTTTTTTTAGAGGTCCGTGTTTGCTCTGCTCCTGATTTGTATTGTTTCAGTGGACTTTTGAGCTTGATTACTGTTCTTTATCTCTATATTTTATGTAGAATTAAGGTGTTTATAACTTTTTATAATGAGACAATGTTCAGTCATAACAAGTCTAGCCATCTATAAGCAGTTACTTGCATAATGGATACGCCGATGATTACATCTGTTAGATGCCTCATACCGGTCACGAAAGCCTAGTGGAAGAGCATTCGCTTTGTGATCGGGAGGCTGGGGTTCGATTCTTGTTTGCTGCGCCGCGTCAAACTTTAGAGGCAAGCATAGTTAGTGACTGTTCCATCATCAAGCGCCCGGCACTAAAAGTGAAAGTCACGGGTCTTTCGGATGAAACCTTAAAAACCGAGGTCCCGAGCCACAGTAAACGTTGTCACGATAAAGAACCATCACCGCTCAAAAGCCCTGAGTGCCGAGTTTAGGTTTAAATTTGAAGCCCTTCACCAGGATATGGTGATCGACATCTCTATATGAGTAAAACAATTCTTGAATGGGACGTAAAACAACATCCAGCAATCAATCAATACGTGCCTCATTAATTGTGGTCTGACAAAGCATGGAAAGCATATATATATAACTTAACATGAAATTTCCGCCTAATGTAGCTTAAGATTCCTATATTTACCTATGAATGCATTTGTTGAGATGCAAGTAAGCCATTCCGTTTGCAACCCCAAGACACATTTCGATTCTTTTTCTTACAGTAATGATTTCTCCCTTTTTCTTAAGATAACCCAGCAACACACCACCTGTGTAAAGGAAAGGTATGATTCACAATGCTTATTAAACATTTTACATTCACATATACTGCATCAATTTTCAGTAAATATTAATAGGAATAAACTTAATTTATTCATTTAATTAGTTTTCTTCATAGTAAATAATCATATACCTGTAAAGTAATGGTCTTGTAGGGTAGGCTTTCCCCCTTTTAAAATCCCCCCCCCCCCAATAACTGTCTCTAGAGTAGAGACCCCCCCCCCGTAAATAGGCTCTGGTGTAGGATATTCCCCTAGGAAAAATGACTCTAGAGTAGGATTTCTCGTACAGAAATTCCATACAGATTCAATTATCAAATTTTATAAAATCCTACTCTGTGTAATCATTATGGAGTGCAATATCCTCCAAAGTCATCCCCCCAATAAAATATCAAATATTATGACTGCTGAACTTGTGTATGAGGGGGCAGGGGGGCGACACATTATTACAAGTGTCCCTTTTATGATTTTTTTTCCACAGGTACTCTCATGGACAATCTTAATGAAACTTAATGAACGAATTTTCTAACATATTTTTTTTTTGTAAAAAGCAGCGATACGTAGAAAAAATATTGGTTCTGTAGAGATCAAACAAATTATCAAAACACTAAAGGTGGCCTGATACACATTGAAAATTCATGAACAAACAGGCACCTCTGCGCCCTAAAATGGGTTGAGACATCGAGTATTTTTTGGAATGTCTAATTTTGGAATTATCTAAGAGTTAAAATTCTGGGTTGAGATTCAATTATTTGAACTATATTCTTAGATTTCTTACTAAATTTGAGCAAACCTTGAGTCGATAATACTCATATTTCCAATTTAAAAAATCAGTTGATTTTCATATATAATCTTTTAGTCAAGTATTGTCAATATTTTACAATTGGAAAAAAGGGGGAAATCCTACTCTGAGAAAGAGGGGGAAATTTGGTTCTAGTGTGAGATTTCTCCTCTGAGGGAAATCCTACCTCTAGAGTACAGATTCGGGGGGGGGGGGGGAGCTATGGGGGAAATCCTACTCTACAACACCTGTATCGAAGAAATGAGGCAATTAAAATACATATTAAAAAACCTAAAAGTAACTTCTTTATTATTTAAATTGAATTTTAAAAGCTAGACTATAAATTTAATGTATAAATTTTAAATTCCAATCATAAGCTATCGATGCAGATTTAATTTTTCTTTTAGTTTGTATTTTTCACATTTATAATTCATAAAACACATTCTTGGCAAGTTGTGTATATTACTGTAATTACCAGAAAGATATTCTATGACAAGTAAAGCAGGTTTCCGCAGTGCTGAGTATCCGATGAGATCTACTATATTCGGATGGTGAAATTGTCGCAAGAAACTAAGATCTTTAAAAACTATTTTTTCATCCTCTTCATCTTTCTTGATGAAAACTTTTATAAAACCAAAAGATCCTTGGACCAAAGATTGGAATGTGCCCATTTGTTTCTGCAAAAAGTCATATCTTGGTTAATTTCTCAACGTAATCTTTTGTCTGAACATAGCAAGAGCAACCCTTCTTATTTACGTTGAATATAGAATTTTAATTAGCAAGAAGGAATACCTTTTTGTTATATGTAATGTGTACAACGTTATTGGTTTACCGTTAGTCTTGATTCCTTTATCATTATTGATCATATTTATAAAATTGTGCGTAGTATATATTCACAGAAGCATTTTCTTTAGAAATAAATCTACAGAGAAATTATATGGATAATTTCGTTTAATATGAGTCGAAGGGCTCTTTTCACTGCAGGTTCCCGTAAATTGTTCATTTAAAAAGTAAAACTTAACGTACGAGGGTAGTTAGAAAAGTTCGCGGACACATTTATTCGCGGAAAATTTATTGTGTACTTTGAAGAATGATAAATGTCTCATTAAAGTCTTACCTTTTGTTTAATGTAAAATATCAGGTCCATATACTAATATTTTGAAAATATACAATGACTTTTACTGTGCGGTCACAGGATTCACGGAGCAATCACTAAACTTTTTCACAGTTCTAAATATCTTTCAGTTCTTTAGATTTTTATGTCTTTTTGCAACTCAAATCGAATAACTTTATCAAGACATGTTATTTTTCCTGAAATATCTTTTATTGCATATCGGATATTTTTGAGATTTTAAAATCAATATCTACCCAGTTAAGCCAGGTATGGAAACAATGCAAAATCCAAAGGCGTAACGTCCATGCGATAAGCGGGGTATTGGAGTATCGCAGGAGTTGATCATCTAATATATCAATCTTCCCATTCTTACAAAGCTACTACCATTTCAACACTGGTCTTAAATACTTGTAGGAAATCACCAGTAGCATCTATAAACAATTTAGTCTCTTTCGGGCATTTTCCTGTCTGCACACATAATTTTTTAATAACTCGATGTCCAAAGACGTTCAATGACGTTGCTATTCTTGACTTTGTTTTTAAGCGTTGATCATATATAATTAGCGGTAAAACAGTCATGACCCTCCAATTTAATTTAAAAAAAAACCTATAGGAGAATACTATATCCTGGAAAAAATCACATTTCAAAATCAGAGTGTATCAGCTATTTTCTTCTGTATATTTATATCCTTTTTTCAAATTTGCATTTTGAACCTTAAATTTACATGTATTATTTACAATTTTAAAATTAACCCTTAAAGTTGGTTAAAACATTCCCCCCCTTATCCACCCATTTTTGCATGATTTTCGGCCTGGAAGTCCTTAGGGGCATATCTTCCCTAAATAAAAATATTATATTTTGATAGGAGGTCATCTAAGGAATAATCTAAAATAGGATTTTTCTGAAGGGGTACCCATGCCATGGGGGCGAAAATCACCAAAAACTACACAAAATAAGAAAACCTATATTTGACAATCTGGATCGTATTTTTACCCACTTATCAGAAGTTTAGACTGCTGGTTTTGAAAACTGAAGTTCCTTTTTTTAGAGTCATAGTTCGAATCCACCTGGCGCCACACTTTTACAGTTCAAAAATAATTGTACTCGTCTTTTCAAAATCTGTTTTATTTTTCAAAAGGGGATTTTGTATTTTACTTAACTTTAATTAATGTTCATTTTTTATATCAAAGACATCAAGAAGAAAACAAATAGTAAATTCTTCGTTCTTCGATGACAAGAATTATTCCCTCTCGAAACAGAAATTCTTGTCTGCAGTGAGCTCTGATGTATTTCTGTTGAATACATGTACACTTTTTGTTTTTGATTAATTTGATATCAATTCAGAGTATTTAATTCTATTCCTCTGTACTGCTATTCCTTGTAAATTGCACTAGAACGAATAGTTGCGTTGTGGTTGTATTGATATTTGAGCTTAGTACAGTATTTTAAACTTTTGCAGTCAATGGTCTAAATTCATATCACAGGTTTTTAAAAAACATGAATGCATTCCTTTGGATTTCATGTAAAATACAGTGAATTATAGATAGAGACATTCCCATTACTATGAAAAGTAAAGAAAAATATCAAAAAAGCTTTTCAAGATTTTAAAAAAAAATTAAAATGAGTCAATAATATAATCTACAGGGTTAAAGTCTTGAAAAGCTCCTCCTATCTTTTCATTCTAGATGCATTGACTACAGCTAAAATGATCTAATGATGAGAAGTGAATTACTACATGTATTTAGCCTAACGTCATTAGCCTGGACGGAAATTGATAATATTTTTGTAAAGACTAAAACTCTTCTCAGTCCTATAGGTCTGCGCCCTATTTAAAATGAGGAGATTCTTTCTTTGATCAGATGAGCGGGAATTAAATTTTTTGAGCAAACATATACAAATAACAGATAACTTTACATTATATCTAAAGTGTGAAGCAGTAAGAAACAAAAAAAATTAGTGTGCAGAAATATTTGCAAAATTTCCAAACCTAGAAATAAATCTATGCATTTATCCACATGTTTGCAAATGTATGTTAACATAACAAACAGTAAACATACACAAAAGTCTACTAAAACATTAAACTGAGAGCAGAACAAAACGGATCAATTGTTTGTTTGTATATTGTTTAAAGTCCCTCTCGAGAATTTTTCACTCATATAGAGACGCCACCACTTGCCGGTGGAGAGCTGCAAATTTTGTTCCATACTCGGCACTTACGGCCATTGAGCAGTGATGGATCTTTATCGTGCCAGCACCTACTGCGACATGGGGCCTCGGTTTATACGGTCTCATCCGAAGGACCGGTCTCCACGTCCCACAGTGGGATTCGAACCCGCGACGTAAGGATCAACTCCTTACTTCGCGACTCTAGAGCAGACGCGTTAACCACTGCGCCACGCGGGCGACTAAAACGGATCAAAGCTAAGATTTCCAATTTCGTCGAAAGCTATTTTGCACTGTTCATTACGTACATTTATTGGAATTTTTCATGTATGAATCTATTCATTTTAATAGAAACTGTTTAATATGTATTTGATATTGATAATTATATACACAAAACCAGGCCTGCTCATTCAATATTGAATAAAAAAGATATCAAGGGAACTGCATTCCACCTTCGCCAATTCATGATTAGACACCATACCCCCCACCCCACCCCCCACTCCCTTAAACAATCAAACTCATCACATGTCTGTGGTCGCAAAAGAAAAGTCTCTGTAAGCTATAGCATATATACGATTTTCTGTTTTCATGGATCCTCAGGAGTAGAAATTCATGAAAATATTAGGAATCTGCAGTTTTTACAAAATCAGTCAATGTGTACAATGTACTTCAATAGAGTTCTAAAACAAATAAAGCAACCCCAAAAAAGAAGTTCTTACGCCATTGTAAAACGGACTTTTTTTTTTATATTTTCTAAAATATAAAATCATTAAAATAAGAGTATTAATTTAAAGATTTATCGTTGTTTTCTTTTTCAAAAAAAAAAAATCTTATTTTTATATATTCCTCTACAACTTTAGAAATTTTAAAGAAAACCAACACCTCTGCTATGTCTCTGACTAACAGGAAAATGTATTTTACCCAGTTCTTCAATTGAATTTTTATGTACCCCCTGGCTTTGAAAAAATACAAATACATGCATATTGCAAGTTCAAAATTTTCAAATTCGTTACATTATACGTTGTTATTGATATCATTTACTAAAAATATTGCATAAGAACAAAGTCAGTTATGAACCATATACAAACAGCAATCAGAATAGAAAAAAGTAAACGTCTTACGATCTCAAGTTTTGAATCCAGTTTGATTTTGTCGAAATCAAGTTGACTTTTGATCCGAGGAACTGGGTTTTGCAGTACAGCAAGGCTGGCTAAGGAAAGGTGCTCTCCTGTTGTCTTCAGATGGTTGACTAAGTCTACCAGAGTGCAATTTCTTCCTAGTCTCTCCTGAAAAGTATTTCTCATGTTTGAACTTAAATAATATGCAGCCTTTTACTCCTAAGATTATTTGACTATACGTTAAATTATTGTTCAAATAAAACAGTTGTAAATTGTAGTTCTTATCAAGTAAATAATCTATATCAAGTACTATAGTAAATCGTTCATAAATCATATCAAAATAATGTTAGTAGCATTAAATCCTTAAAAAATTGAATAAAAAGTTTTTTAAAAAGGTGTTATATTTTGAGAGAAGGGCTTCAAATTTAGACCTAAGCTCAGCATTCAGAGCCATTGAGCAGTGACAGTTCTTTCACTTCTAGTGCCGGGGGCTTGATGAAAGAAAAGTCACTACCTATGTTTACGTCTTAGGTTTGACGCAGTGCCGCGTACAAGAATCGAACCCCGGCCTATAGATCACGAAGCGAACGCCCTACCACTATGCCACTGTGACCGGTCAAACATATTAGATTTCGCAACAACCTGGAAACATTCACTTCTATAAACCATGGAAATGAAAAGAAGTTTAAGACGTTATAAAAGTTCTCTAAACCAGTTTTATACAAAAATAGATATTTTACTCAAAAGCAGAAGTGCCCACTTCATGCATGTGCACTTGGAGATTTTCTCTTCAAATATTTTCTTCAGCGCAAACATTGTAGACAAAATTACTTATTCAATGTTGGTATACGATTATATCGTGCAAATGTCAACACAGTAGGACATATTGATATTGATTTCTTTAAAACAAAAAAAAAAATCCGCAAACAAAGGAGGCCTTACTCAAAAATATGTTTTTAATAAATTAGGGAAGCCGTTAAGGGAACTTCTGTAACATTCTTTTTATCATTCTTTTTACAGTTAGCGCTAGTTTATTCATGCATTGAATTTTATATCATTTTTAAGCTAGGGCATCAAAGAACACTCCGTTTTTTTTGCTGTTTTTTTGGGGGGGGCGGGTGTTTTTTTTTTGGGGGGGGGTATTTTTATTTGTTTTTGTTGTTTTTTTTTTGTATTGTCAGTAAGGTATAGTTTAGAATAATTTTTTCTTTGATAAAAAAATATTTTTGCAAAACCATCGTAGGTCAACACCTTTGTTGTCCTTATATAATTAAATATATATTCTAATTGAACTCAAAAGATTCACAAAAGCTCTCTATTTTTTTTTAATAAGAATCTAGCAAAAATAAGTAGCTTTATAATGACGACGATTACAGTATGATTGACGGCAGTAAGAACAGTCCCTTAGTATGAATGCAGATAAAACTGACACATAAATTACTAATATTTCATTTAAAGCAAAAAAAAAAAAAAAATTAAAGTGCAGAATAAAAAAGTTTCATTTTATTTGATTGATTATATGTTGTTGAACGTCCCATTCGAGAATTTTTTCACTGATATAGATACCTCATCATATGCCGGTAAAGGGCTTCAAATATTTAGAACTATGCTCGGCACTCAGAGCCATTCAGCAATTAGGGGTCTATATCGTGCTAGCGTGACTCTGAACCTCGGTTTTTAAGGTTTCATCCGAAAGAATCGCGGCTTTCCCTTCTAATGCCGGGCGCTTGGTGAAGGAACAGTCACTACTAATGTTTTCCCAGGGCCGCGAACGAGAATCGCACCTTGGCATTCCGATCAAGGAGCGAACACCCTACCACAAGGCGACCATGACTGATTAAAATTATTTTGAGATAACAAATGATATTAAATTTTTTAAAAAAATGATGTTATAAATATTTGATGGTAAAGTCAATTAAATGAAAATCTGAAGTAGTTTGAAATATGATATGATTTAAATACTGAATATGATTGTCATATTGAATAATATTCTTACGACAACATCTTCTGGTAAGATTTTAGTATGCACCGGTTTCTCTCGATAAGCAGATATGACAAAGCAACGCTCTTTTGAACTACTCTCTGATACTCGAACCAAGAAATCCCCGTCTTTCTTCAGAAGTCGCTCAGCTTCTTCTCTTGGTATAAATCCATGAAACCAGGGCTCGTCTTCAAAGTTTCCTTCACCAACAATATTTTCATTCTTTTTGGAGAAAAATAGCATCCATCAAATTGATGAATAAAACACATGACGTTTAATACTTTTTTTTTTTCAAGGTATAAACAAAATCCTGGTATTAAAAGAATAACACAGTCTCCTGTTGTATATAGTTGTATATATTAACGGTCTGCTCTTCTTTTTTTCTTTCTATTCCTCTATAATACTTTCTGACCACAACGTATGTCAAAGAGAAAGTTAAGTGAATTTTCCAAAATTTAATTTCACTTAATTCCATTAAAAAACTTTGTATCCAGCTCTTTAAGCTTTACCCTAGTTTCATGGGCCATTATTAGAACAAGCGTTTATATTGTGGCCCTCTCTGAAGGCCACTATGCGCCCAATTTTTTAAGTCTATCTTTCCTGGTTACGCTTGCATTTAAATATGATTAATTACGACCTCTTGTTCCTGAGAAGATTTTAAAGGATTTATTATATAAATGATATAAAAGAACATAAAACTGATTTTATTACCATATCCTACCCCTGAGGTCCCTGATTCTAACAAATTTGAATCCATAATATAACCCCCTCCCCCCCCCCCCCAAAAAAAAAGAAGCCACAAGTTTCATAATTTTTAGTTATATTCGTAAGAAAAAGAGGACGTGGCCTTTATTTGAACAAATCTTAATCCTTTAATACAATGATGCAATGATGATTTGTTGCAAGTTTGGCTGAATTGGCCCATTGAGTCTGGAGAAATCAATTGAAAATATGAAAAGCTTACAAACGATATACGACAAATGTCAGATCTAGACGACGGACAACCTTGGATCAGGAAAAAACACTTGGGACAGACTTTTCTTATATTCTCATGCATAAAAATTTCACAAAATATATACCTTATTTTCATTGGTATCCCTTTTGTTGGTTACAAAAGTTCCAAATAATGAAGCTATGTCCTCTTCCTCTAATCTTTTGACATCTAGAACTGGCATGCAATTATCTAACTGGTGAGGGACAATTCTTAACTCTTGTTCTATTCCACTGTACCCTAAGATGGCTTTAGTGTCATTGCTTGCGAGCAATGACTTTGCTTTATGGAGGCTTTCCAAAAACCTTTTTTCAGCGGAAATATTTTCCTTTTCTTTTTCTTGAATTTCTTTCTTGTGTTTTGATACCTCCTCTCTAAGTTGTCTTCCAAAATCTCGTACCGCTTTGCAAATTAAGTCTTCCTGATTGGTTATTACTTCAATTGTATTCTTTTTTGTCTCTTCGCTCATAATATCTTTCTGTTTTTGGAATTCAGGTAGTAACAGACTCTCAATTTCATTTAAATCTGCAATAACATCTTGTTTCTTTTCCTCCAAAAAATCATCAAGTTCTATGAAATCATGTTGCCTATGAACTCCGACAACGCATTTCGAACAAACTGGGATCTTGCAATTTCTGCAGTAAATTTCACAATTGTTTGAATCGTGAGAAGGGCATTCATGGCGTTTTAATGTATCTTTCTCGCTGGTAAACTCTGCAATTTCATGTTTTTTGCTTTTGTCAGATAAATGTTTAGATGTGCATTCGCTGCACAGTCTAACATGACATAATGTACAATGGTATTCTACTGCATTATCACAAAGAGAACATCGGATGACGTCCTGCGCAAATGAAAGAGCTGACTCCATCCCACTACCTTTCTACATCAGAAAGGTTAGAAATTCTTTATATTATTTGAATACATGCTAACTGCAGTAAAACGTCTTCTGTTTTTCAACCTTAATATGTTAAGAAACAAAAGGAAAGAGGTTAGAATCATAATAAATGGTAGCGCCTTATACTACATCTGTCAATTTATTTATTTATTATTTTTTCATTATGATTTCATCGGGGATATGTTTCAATATCCTCATAAATTATTAGGGTTCTGTTTTTTTAGCTGTTTGATTCTTCTTGAAACTAAAAATGACAATGTACTTAATGAAAGATCATTTTTAAGGACACATGATACGAACAAGAAAATGAATGCCTGGATTTGTATGTATTTTTTGACCTACGTGTATTTTTGATTGTAAATGATGCGAAAATTAAATTTCTTAAATATTAAGAAACTGTGTACTTAATTTCTGTGATATTCAAAATCCTACCTTTCTGCAACAATCCTTATTAATCAATCTATGCAACTTTTTGTCACTTTAAACCACATTACTGCTAACCTTTGAATGAAAAATCAAAATCTATGCGGAAAAACTTATTCATTTGATATATATAAACACTTCTTTGCTTGTTATTTTCATAATTTTTGATAATTTTTTTTTTTTTGCATCATCTGTCCTTAAGCATTTATTAAATATTCAACAACAAGCTCTCTAAGAATGTGTGTATCTCCTTATACATAAAATATTCCCCCAAAGTATTTTTAGACAAACATTTTTTTTTTTATATTCATTGTCTTCTTATCGGTATCAAGGTCTTCCTCTTTATTCAAAGACATTCTTGCTTATCATATAATATACTCTTTATTATGATACTTTACTTTAAACGTCAAGACAGAAATAATATATTAATTTTTGTTCTTAAATATAAAATAAAAAACATTTTATATTTCATTGTATAAAGGGCCATTAACCTGAATATAAAATACATGATTTTTCTGTGTTTCTGAGGGTTTGTTTACCTTGAGTAGAAAAGGGGGCTGCTTCGCGTATCACAGCTGTATATATCTTTTATGCAATTAAATGTACAAACTCAATACGATAAATATAGAAGAATGTGCCACAAGATCAATAAATAAGTAAATATACAATATGTAGATATCCTAATCAATTTTAAGGAGATATCTTAAACAAAAAGGGCAAGTTTGCGTGTTCACTATCAAATTTACAAACAAAAAAATCCTGGGTGTTTCGAAAGAAGCTGCCTTTTGATATTGCATAGATAATGTGACCGATTTTTTAAATTTGACCTATTTTCAAAACCTTAGCGAAACATGAAACTTTCATAAAATCAATCAACCAATGTGTGCATTTGCAAGAAAAAAATATCTTTCTTGAAAATGTACTACAGATATATTCATTTTTGTTGTAAATTTGTATCTTGATAGGCATAATTATCTCTGATTTTGCTAAAGAATGCCATGTCTAGTATATCTGTCCCAGATAATCCTTATACCCGTGTTTGTTTGTTTTTTTTTTAAATATTTCGATCTGATGATGGGATATTGAAACCTTAAAGTTTTTCATTATGAGGGACCTTCAATCTATATCCTTACCACATTACTAGAATTAAGAATCCGTCCTCCGCACATCAAAACCCACTCTCTACCATCGGCTCATAAATTTTATTGTCTGAGAGAGGAACGAACGACAACTCTGCATATGAGATTGATCAAAACCCAGTATTCACGGTGAAGTAACATAAAGACTTCGGTTATATGGATTTAAAGAAAACAAGGTCACGTAAACACACACTCATATACCGGTAGGACTCTCTTTGTGTTTGTGTAAAATATAGGTGGTCATTGAAGCAAAATATCCTAATGCCTGTATGATGAACGGAGGGTATTTGACGTCCTTGCAGAAGACGTACATAATACAGAATTTAGATCCAAAGATTTCTTCCATTTAGCATGTTAAAATACATAACAAACATCTTTTTTTGTGCTTTATTTATTTACTTTTCGGTTTTTGTGTTATTTTAATAGTGTGTAAGAGAAAGTGTGTGTGAGCGTTTTATTTTATTTATTTATTTTGGTTCTTTTGTCACTTTTTATATTGTTTTTATTTCTTTTTTTTTTTAGAGCTTCGTTTAAGGAATTTTTCATTTCGATCTGAAAACAGGACGAGGAATGATTACTCGGATCGATGAGATACTACAAGTTAGTGTCCATCTTGAATTGTTGTGTCAAGAGAAACTCTTTATTCCAGGACAAGCTGCGGGAACCTGACCAAATATCGCCAAAAGTACGTTCATAATTTATACTTAATAACATCCTAAGTAACAACGTCAGGGGTTCTTAGGGTCAACACGTTTCCGTTGAAACTTGACATACATGTACTTCGTTTGATAATTTACGGAATGCAGGGCTCTAATTGGCGACTTATTTAGTCGCCATGGCGCCTAAAAATTTTGAATGGCGCCTAAAAATTTTCTATAAGTCGCCAAATTGGCGACCATTTTAAATTGAATCGGTGATCGTCAAATTCCTGAACTATAAATATTTTCACCATTTTTTTTTCTAAAGAGGAGAAAAAAGGTTTAAAAGTTAGCAATAGTTATGTGCCTGGCGACTAAAAATTTGCAAAGCCTTATAGCTAAAATCAGTCTAATTAGGAGCCAACTGGCACCTAAATTTTAAAGGTCACATAGAGGCCTGGGGTGATTGTGGAGACGTCTTTCTGGAAAATAACAAATCTTTATCTTTTTCTTATTTCTCAACCAATCAAATTAAGCCTTTGGGGTGATAAACAACTTGTAACACGTGTATTTGAGGTGCCATCTGTTTAAATCATGTGTCTGTAAATGAATACTGCTTCTCACGAGAAACAAGCCAGTAAAAAAGAATGAAGTTTGTCAGGGGTCAAACAGCAATATGTTGCCTCAAGACCCTCAAATTAACACCCTTATTTAGGTACCGTTTATTAATCCAAGATGCATAAATTATAAGAACATCGGGATTTATAAAACGTAGAAGTCAATCAATTCATCAACAATCTTAATTACAAAAGTCAGAAATCCGCCATTTATTTTTCATTTGGTAAACGATACACCAACGTAATTCATATTAAGCCAATACGGGACGTTTTACTTTATTTACTATGATCTATAAACATATTATGTTCATGTGGTTAATACGAAGATGTGTATCGTTTCTTAAATTATTGCATGCTTGCTAAATATAATCTTTTTATTCGCGCTGTTTATTCTTGTTTATGATAGGCCATTATTTAATTATTCTCATTATCTGCGGATTACTCTATTTACATGTTCAAATCGAAGGGCTCACCAAGAATGTTTGTTTGTTGTTTGACGTCCCTCTCGAGAATTTTTCACTCATATGGAGACGCCACCATTTGCCGGTGGAGAGCTGCAAGTTTTGACCTATGCTCGGCACTAAGGGCCATTGAGCAGTGAGGGATCTTTTTTGTGCCAGCACCTACTGCGACACGGGATCTCGGTTTATACGGTCTCATCCGAAGGACCTGTCTCCACGTCCCACAGTGGGATTCGAACCCGCGACGTAAGGATCAACTCCTTACTCCGCGACTCTAGAGCAGACGCTCTACCACTGCGCCACGCGAGCGACCCACCTGAATTGTGACCCGTCAGCAAGTGTGTTTCTTATCTCACATATCACACTTTGAAAACTGAATAATAAAATTTGGAGATAACGAACAATATTCAAGCTCAAAGTTCATTTAAACAGTACAAATCAAGAGCAGAGCAACCTAGGGCCTCCAAAAACATCGGAGGCGGGATCAGGTGCCATGGAGGAGTGAGCATCCCTTGCCGACTGGTCACACCCGCCGTGTGCTCCTTGTCATGATCGGGAAAAACGGAAAAATCTGTAGACAATTCAGTATGTAAATAATGACCTAGCAATTAATATGAACAAGAGGCCCAAGGGCCTTAACGGTCACCTGAGTATACAACAATTTAGAGGATCCACAGAGTATAAAATGAATTGAAAGGTGAAGCTTTGTTGCCCAAAAGCAAGAAAAATAGGATGATCAGGATAACAAAATAATTAGTCTAGCATTCAGTAACAGTTCATAAATTAGGTTCTAATCTGTTCCCCATTTATCACCATCACCATACAGTATATTAACAAACTATCAGTTTTCTATACTATTTTAATTCCTTGTTGAAAATTCTTACATTGGCCTCCCTTGGTCTTTGGTGAACATTTAATAAGACAAGTTATTTTTGTCTCATTTTTATTTATCTATTACTTAAAAGTCTAACTGATCATTAAAACTACGAAAATACTTTTTGTATTATACAATAAAAAATTCTTGCATAATTCTTTTATTCTATTAACCTTTCAAGTACATTATTTACAGTGATTAATTATCAAAAGTAAATGGCAAAGGGGAATAACTCCTCTCAAAAGAATACAAATTAATAGAGCCCTTGCCAGGACCAGACCAGTTGACCAAATGGTCCAGATGTTCAAACTCTAGTGAAAAATACCCTTCCTTATTAAAACATTTACTCTTTTTGCCTCTGATATGCACAGGTGCGGAGAAGATTTTTAAAGAAATAATGCATTTTTACTACAGATTCACTATATTATCAATAGAGCCCCCCTCCCCACTGAGAAACACCAGAGCCTCTGACCTTGGGACAAGAAGTTTGCTCATTATAAGTAATCACTTTCTTTATCTGCTTAACACTAACATGACTAAGGAGCAGACAGGATAATTAAATAGAATTAATGCATTTTCACTATATTATCAAGAGCCCCACCCTTACGCCAGCACATCTGACCCAGGGCTCATGCAATTCACTACTCTGGAAGAAGCACTCTTGCTCATCATAACTATGCACATCTTCTTTGCTTTTTAACCAGAAGCAGAAAGGAATATTTTCAAAGAAATTTTGCTTTTTCACTATATAATCAATAGAGCCCTCCCCCCTTTTCACCAGAGCCCTTGACCCCGGGGCCATGAAATTCACAATTTTGGAAGAAGCATCCTTGCATATCATAACAATGTACTTAGTTTGTTTAAATAATACCCAGGGGCAGAGAAGAAGATTTTCAAAGAAATAAATCACCTTCACTATAGGATCTATATAGCCCCGCCCTAGCACCAGAACCCCTGTCCCTGTGGCCATGAATTTCACAATTTTTGGACGAGGCATCCTTGCTTATCATAACAATGTACTTAGTTTGTTTAAATAATACACAGGAGCAGAGAAGAAGATTTTCAAAGAAATAATGCATTTTCACTATATAATAAATAGAGCCTCACCCTAACACCAGAACCCCTGATCCAGGAGCCATGAAATTCACAATTTTGGAAAAGGCATTCTTGCTCATCATAACTATGTAATTAGTTAGTTTATTTAATACCTAGGAGCAGAGAAGAAGATTTTCAAAGAAATAATGCATTTTCACTATATAATCAATAGAGCCCCGCCCTAACACCAGAACCCCTGATCCAGGGGCCATGAAATTCACAATTTTGGATAAGGCACTCTTGCTCATCATAACTATGCACTTAGTTAGTTTATTTAATACCTAGGAGCAGAGAAGATTTTCAAAGAAATAATGCATTTCCACTATATAATCAATAGAGCCCCGCCCTAACACCAGAACCCCTGATCCTGGGGCCATGAAATTCACAACTTTGGGAGAGGCACTCTTGCTCTTCATAACTATGTACTTAGTTTATTTAATACCCAGGAGAAGAGAAGAAGATTTTCAAAGAAATAATGCATTTTCACTATATAATCAATAGAGCCCCGCCCTAACACCTGAACCCCTAACCCTTGGGCCATGAAATTCACAATTTTGGAAAAGGTATTCTCGCTCATCATAACTATGTACTTAGTTTGTTTATTTAATACCTAGGAGCAGAGAAGAAGATTTTCAAAGAAATAATGCATTTCCACTATATAATCAATAGAGCCCCGCCCTAACACCAGAACCCCTGACCCTGGGACCATGAAATTCACAATTTTGGGAAACGCACTCTTGCTCATCATAACTATGTACTTAGTTTATTCAATACCCAGGAGCAGAGAAGAAGATTTTCAAAGAAATAATGCATTTTCACTATATAATCAATAGAGCCCCGCCCTAACTCCAGAACCCCTGACCCTGGGGCCATGAATTTCACAATTTTGGATAATGCACTCTTGCTCTTCATAACTATGTACTTAGTTTATTTGATTCCCAGGAGCAAAGAAGAAGATTTTCAAAGAAATTATGCACTTTCACTATATGATCTATATAGCCCCACCCTAGCACCAGAACCCCTGATCCTGGGGCCATGAATTTCACAATTTTGGTAGAGGGCTCAATGCTTATTTCAATCATGATTTTTAAAGATTGCATTAATTTTGGTGATTTTAGCCCCACCCCTCAGGCCCCAGGGGGGCAGGGACCATGAAATTCACAATTTTTGTTCCCCTTCACCCATAGATGCTATATGCCAAATTTGGTTGAAATTGGTTGAGTGGTTTTAGAGAAGAAGCTGAAAATGTTCAAAAGTTAACGCATGACGACGGACAAAAACCGATAGGAATAGGTCACCTGAGTGACTCAGGTGACCTAAAAACGTCAGTCAGCATTTGACTTAATGATAGGCTGTGTTTGCTGACAAGACCATTGTATCGATCATAAAACTTGCGAAATGATGACTTCACATAAGACTGTTGATATCCTTATTTCATCAACTTGTTTGTCATTCAATAGGTTGCCTCGTTTTGGAAATTGTTCATACCTAGAGCATGCTCACAAAAACCCCATATGCAAGTGATAAGGGTACATACTTCTACCTAAGTAAGGGAAGTTGACTGGAATATTGAAGTCATCATGTTTATCATAAAGCTTTGTTGTTAGGTGACCATTAAAGTCTTTTACTAGTAAAATATCCAAATATGAACAGATGTGTCAGACTCTGTGGTATCTTTTATTTCAAGCTCACTGGGATATATCGAGTCAACATATGAATGGAAGTAGCTAGTGTTAATTGAAAATACGTCATCGATATATCTAAATGTCGAATTGAAGGCCACAGCAAGTGTTTTCTTCTTCTCATGTAGAAGTTTTTGAATAAGTTCTGCTTCATATGACTACAAAAATAGGTCTACTCATAAGGGGGCGCAATTGGTACCCATGGGAATTCCAACTGATTGTTAGAAGACCTGATCTCCCTAAAGTACAATTATATTGTCAATCATAAACCCAAGCATCTTTTTAATATCAACTTCAGAGTACTTATGTGTACAATCAGAATGTTTTTTAAAAATATAATTTTGCAAATGACCAATGACAAGGTAAGTATCCTTACGAGTTCCATTTTTATTGAAAAAGCAGCTGTCTATGATGTCAAAAAGCCCGGACTTTAATTAATCATGGGGAATGGTTGTATTAAGTGTAGAAAATTCGTACATTTTCATGTTATTGATTTTGTTCAAATCTTGTGATTTCAAATTTTCTAAAAGTTCCGTGGAATTATTAGGTATTCAGATCTGATTAACACCACTTCTTGAATATACTGTTGTACCGTACTCCTGAAGTTTCTCCTTCACTGCTGTAATTTTTTAGTGAGGAGTAAAGAAAGAGGCTTGGTAGAACATTAACTGGAACCCGCTATGTACCTTTGTTTGTAAGTATTTTTATGGAGTTTTGCAATCCAGTATAGGTATGGTAATTTAAAATCATTTGATTGTTGGGGAAAATCCTTTTTTATGGAAAAAAGTCATTTAATTTGACAAATAAAGAAAAAAACCTTATCGAAGTAATTTAATTTCCATGAACAAGAGTTGACATTCACTTAAATGTAGAGGGAAATATTAACTGAACCACTGTTGATGCAATATTTTTTCCCCACTGAATGCAGTTTAAGAAACCAAAGAACAAGTGTTATAATGGTCTCTAGATATGATTTACACTTTTTAAATATAATTATCATAAACAAATATTAATTGCTAACTATTGATCTGGTCAATTACATCATCCTTTCACAACAGGCGCTAAATTAATTAGTAATAATATTTACACAACAAGTATTTAGTAACAAGGCATTTCCTTTCATATCAACAATAGCATAATATCTGATTTGTCCAGCAAGTGTACAAGTGAAATATACTTATAAGAAATAACATCAATATGTAATGTATTCATACACAATATATTCACAAGTAATATATGTTCTTTTACATCAACAATAACACTTTATCTGATTTGCCCAGCAAGCTTACCTGCTATATATACATAATTAAAAAGAATAACATTTCATATACGTAATAAATAACATAGAAAACTGTCATATGATCACATGAAAGTTTGTAATACAAAGCAGTTGAAAAATTGCATTATTCAGGAACAACTAACTGAGTGATGTTAACATACATATGAAAAAAAAGAACACATCGTATAAGAATTTTACAAAAAATCAAAATGTAAAAGCATGTGTATGGATATATTAATTATATCTTTTTTAAATATATTAGAATTGTAAATATTATTTATACATGTATATACAGTCTAAGTGGAATAAAAAAAACATGATGTAAATTACCATTGTGTGATTGTTTTGATTTTTTATAATGTAGGGTTCAATAAGTCTTAACATTCTGTATAAATGATTTTCATACAAAAAAAGCTTCTGATAGCTAAATGACATCAAAAATCTGCTCGCACAGTCATAAAGGCAATATCAACATACTTTGGGGAATAAAAAGTATGATTTTGGAGATCAATTTTTTTTTTTTACACTTATGAGATAGCTTTTACAACTTATATAAAAATAATATAAGGACTTATGTGGGTTTTTTTTTTTTGGAAAAAAAATATATATTAATGATCATTACAGACATGAATTACAACAAAATTTAAAATTAATGCAGTAATTCAGAACGAATCAAAATTAAAAGTTTGCTTTATATCAGCTTATCTTTATTAATGTCATTTTTGTTGGTATTTTATGCATTTTTACACAAAGGACTGCACTTGTCTTATTAATATTCCCGTACTATACAGTAAATGGTAACAAAAGGTGACCTAGCTTCAACCACAGTTGCTGTTGGCACTTAAAAATATTGAATATAAATGTCAGCAGAAAAAATGATTCTACAACCAATCACTGACAATGTATGATTCAACCAATCACTGACAATGTATGATTCAACCAATCACTGACAAGGTAACATGGGTCAACCAATCACTGAAAAGGTATTATGATGCAACCAATCACTGACAAGATATCACGATAAGAATTTGTGTTTCTAAATCTTAAATATTGAAAGAAAATTGAATTTAGCTATTATATGCTTATTGCTAATTTTTGCTCTATAATTCTTTTTACCAAGAAAATAAGGCTGCATTGAAGCTTAGACAACAATGGTCCCTCATTATTATGATGCTAATTATATCTTGTCTTCATCTTTTGGATATATTTTTTTTTCATAAAACTGCCTTTCATTATCTTACACATGAAGGTTTTCCTTCAGAGGATTGCTTTTGATTTTTCATCAGTTTGAATTGCTATGAAAGCAAACTTGCTAAGCAAAGCTGCTACTTTAAAAAATCTGAACATTATATAGTGTGTACATGTATGTATGTGCTACTTTTTCGGCACAACTTGAATTTAACCAAGGAAACATTATCTGAACGTGGAATTCCTTATTAAAATCAATGAAAATTTTCAAAACTTTTATAACAAGTTCATGAATAATATACATCAAATTACATTTCATAAAAGATTTCTAAAAATCAGACAAGCAAAGGCAGGTCTCTTACAGACAATCAACGAAGAGGAAATTATGATAAACACATGGTTAAAAACAACTTACAGGTAAATATTAATAAACTTTATATTTATACAATCATTATGCATAGTTTTGACTAAACAGCAATGGTGACAGATGCTACATTGTATATCATTAAGGCAACGGTTCAAGGTCAAAGGTTGTGACCTCATATATGCAAATCACTAAAATATAACAACATAATAACAATGGTCTCCAAGTTTGTGGATCATGGAGAAAATATCAACCTTCCTTTCTTTATTTATATGTTATCTTAAACTTAACCTTTATAACCTTTAACCTCTGATCCCCATCAAAGAGGTCAAAGTTCAATTAACTCTTGTGATTGTCTCTTGCTGTTAAAAAATCTCATATGTGGTCTTTTCTTATTTGTTCAGGTTCATGAAAGACTATGTCTCTTTTTATATTCACATGTAACTTTAAATGTAAAATTTCACCAATGAACGACAGGCTGTTGCATCATGGGAAACCACACAGACTCTTGGGAAATTATCATAATGACTTAAAGATTGATTGAAGTTCCTTGTGGATTTTGCCAAAGTGATAGCGGTCATTAGGATTGTACTCCCAGCACTTCATCATTAGGTCATAGCAGGCATCAGGGGTACCCTCCGGGGGCGGCATTCTATAGCCTGAAAATTAAAAATCATCTATAAGAAATATTAAATTACAAAAATGAGAATAATTGCCCTGATGCTTTAGATTGCTTAACTTACATTAGTACTTAATATCGCGAAATGGCCCAAGGGTGTCAAATCGCAAGAACAATAATTCACAAATGGGTGATTTATCTAGTGATTTTACATACATTAAAGCACAATAAAAATAAAAGTGAGTAATTTTATTTCGCAAGAGGTGCTTTATTCCGCAAGTGGTGCTTTATTCCTCGCGTATATTTAGGAATCTACAATAATTTTAACACATTAAAAATATTCCTGTTTATTTTCCCTTTTACCTCTGTCTATCTGTTCTCTAGCCTGGTTATTTGTCATTCCAGAGTAAGGAGTGATACCACCAGAGAAAATCTCCCACATTAGGATTCCAAAACTCCAAACATCACAAAGAGATGTGTACTTTCCTAAAATACAAGTCATATAACAGTCATGTGATCAAGATTTGAATTTTTTTTTTCTTTGTAAAAAGTTAAATGACTTTCCTGATAAAGAAGTAAGTTATGGGGAAAAAAAACTTTAAAAACTTCAGCTAAATTTTGATGATAAATATATGTACATCCATGTTCCTTTCAGTGCAAAATTCAAATTTAAGAAATCAATTTACACAGCCCTAATATTTAGTTGCAGTACAGGTATACAAATCTACATGCTGTTACCCAATCAGAGAGGGACACAAGCATGGTTAAAGAGGGACTTCAGAGGATATACCATGCCACACAGACAAGTACCTTTGTCATTCGTCCCTGCTTCAGAACAACATGAATAATGAAAGTATTTACAGTAGAAGATTTTTACGTACCATACAGTAAGGCCTCTGGTGCAGTCCATTTGATGGGGATCTGTTTCAGCCCATCTGACACGACATATTCTTCCTCCTCCCGGGACATCCCGAAGTCCGAGATCTTCACCACTGACTTGTCGCCAACCAGACAATTCCTGGCTGCCAGGTCTCTAAATAAACATTTAATACATTTTACTTAATAAATCATGTGTGTTTGACCAAGCATGCCTTATTCCATGGCCACAAATTTATGCTCTAGATGTTTACATACTTTCAAATAAATTTTTCCTAAACTGTGTATATAATTGAGCATACATACAAACAATTTCTCACAACTGTGTATACAGTTTTTACTCTCTATATGTTATATACAGTATTTCTTACCTGTGTATACAGTTTTTACTTTCTAGGTACGCCATCCCACTGGCTGCATCTTCACACATCTTTGTTAGCTGTTTCTTGGATAAAGTTTTACCCTGTTTCCTTAGATAATTTAACAGGGCACCTCCTAAAAAGCGAAATTTAATTAAAAAAAAAATATGTACATGTACAGTCAAACAGTAGTAATTCAGAAACAGTCTTGACTTCTGTTAATTCCTTGTATGACAAAGACTGAATATCCTGAAATGACAAAAAGACATCAAATCACGAGAAACATGAATTCAAGGGTGAACTGTCTCTCTACAGCTTTAACATGTACTTCAGCTATATAAAAATTAAAAAGAAGTAATTTTTATTCACAAGCTTCTTGCAAAATTAAGCAATAATAACTTCCTTGCATATATTTAGGAATCTACGTAATTATCTTAAATTCAAAGCATTAAACATCTAAAATAGGAAGTTCATCTTAAAATTAACATTTTTTCTTATACATCCATCATATCTCCCAAAATTAATTTCGTCTTGCTCATTATTGGGTATAAAAAATTGCACGGCTCTGTAATCTCTATAACTAGAAGATTGTCAAAAAATGCAGTCCAAAGGTTCCGAGTTCATTCCTTGCCCAATGTAAAGAAACAAATGACTAACTATTTTAAGCAACGTATTTTTTTTTTCCATCTAATTATTTAAAAGAAGACTTTTTTCATCCAAATTGTGAAGAATTTGACAATAAAATCTTTTAAAATAATTGGGGAAATATACATGTAGTTCTTTTCATAAAGAGTGACATTTCCTAGGGAAAATGGCCTCTATTCTGCCGTGATTTGGGGTGATAAAAAACACTGGTAAGACATAACAAATTTCACTGTCTACTAACCCGCTACATATTCCATGACTATCATGACAGGCTGACGTTGAGCTGCAATGCCGATAAATCGTACAATGTTGGGATGGTCGTACTGTTTAAGGATCCTCCCCTCCTGAAGGAATTTCTTCCTCTGTTCCTCCGACAGGGTATCTCGACACGTTTTTACAGCTACAACCATTGACTTAGGCTTATAAACTCCCTTGTACACTTCTCCAAAGTTACCCTATGATGAGAGAATGGGAAATGAAAAACATTATACAGTCAAACCTTGATTTTTCAAACACAGTGGGACTTTCTGAAAATTGAGAGATTTCAGAAGTTTCCAAATATCATAGTGTTCAAGAAATTATAGCATTTAAATAAATTCATAGGTCAAAGTTCAAATTCATAATTGGACTGGGATGTGTTCCTGGCATTAGGTATATAAGTGTTTTTGAAAATAAAATTCCAGTGTATTTACATGTATATCAATTACATGTATTATTAGACAAATATCTAATTTAAGGGGATGAAGGACACATGGTCACATGACTCTGTTTAACTACGTCATAGTCTCCGTTTATATAAGTGCAAAACGTGTAAAGCATCAATTCTTGTATAAATTTTTGACAATTTTTTAACTTTAATTACCATCTTATATAAAAATAATTAAAAAGTTTTAACATTCTTGTAAACATTAACAAATTATGAAAAAGATTGATCCACTCCTCTGCTTCCCTAAACTGTCCAACAAGTCGGTGACGTCATACACGATCTGTTAGTACAGCAAGATCATACTCGGTGAACACAGGGCGGTATTATTATGTAAAAACAGGCCATAATCAGTATATGATGAAATATTTTGAGAAACGGGGAACACAAAAATTATTTTTGCATGGCTGTTGATGGAAATCATATGTAGGTATATCTTATTTCGCTTATTTAGCTTACGTGTGATGTCATAGTTGGTTTTTCCCGTACTCAAGAAATGTTACATGGCACGTTTTTGTCATGCTTATGTCGTCTTTAACAATGTCCTGTGCAATATTGAGGTCAGCTTCACCATTCGAAATTTTTACAGTTAATCAATAATTTGAAGGATTTGCATTTCAACGTAAATTAAAAAATATTGAATGATAGAATTGTTTGAAAATTACGTTTCTTATTGTTTAAGTTGTCTTAAAAAGTGCGTAATTTTCCCTATCCAGATGCAGTGTGATGGACAAAACTTGCTTTTTCGAATTTTAAATCCTAGTTATACTCTGAAATAATTTAAAAGATACATGTCCACTTTGATATTTTTTATATATGCTTAAAAAATCCCATTATGGACAGAGTAATGAGCCCGGAAGCATGGAGAATTAAAACTCCACTTAGATAGGGTAGGGTATAGTATTTGTCAATCGATATCTCCAAAATAAGGTAAGAAACCTAATGATATAACTGCTTTAAGATATGTGGGACATACTTAATTAGAAATATACAAAATATGAAAAAAATTGAATGACAAGTATTTTTTCAGCTCAAGGTCCTTCTCCTCCTTAAACCGAGAAAATGACAAAATTAGAGGCAATGCCTAAAGTCTTTCTATATAACTACAGTCAAACCTTGTTATCTCAGACTCAATGGGACCAAGATTTAACTTGAGATATCTGAGGACTTGAGATATCAAAGTAATAAGCATAAGGAAAATTCATTACGACTGCTGACTCACTTCGACATATAATTTAAGATATTGGTGTTCAAGATAACAAGGTTCAACTGTATATTAATTATTTGCTTTGACCAGGAACTGCTTGTAACTTATCTTTGAACAGTCCTCCAAATTTTAGAAAGGTGCATTTTTAAGATTTATTTTCATGCAGCTGCAACATGTATAAAAAGTCATTGCTTTGAATTTTTTCTGACAGTTCTCCTGCTAAAATTTGCTCAATATTCAAACAAAGTCATAATTTGGATATAATGGCCACCTAAAACAGATGCAACTATAACAACTTGAAAAACTTACATTTCCTATCTTCATTTCCAAGGCAATGTCGTCATTCCTAAGCTGCCATTGTTCGCGGATGATGGGAGTTTTTAGGATTGTCTGTGATTTTGTGGTTACTGGTTCACCAGACAAATGCTGATAATTTACGAGTTCAGAAATGGTGGGAAAAGATCGGCCCTCAAATCGCCAGCCATTCTGTCAAAATACAAAGAGAGAAAAAATTACCATTTACTGGGAAAAAGTATGTTCAATTTAAGCTGATCTGCTTGAAGTTCAAAGCATATACACCGTACCTCTGTATTGTGCTGATATGCATGCAACTTTCTATCTGAATTATAGTACAAAGTTTTATATCAATAAATAAGTATATTTCACAATTTTTTAGATAATTGCTTGAAATACAAAAGGAATCATGTTTTGATTAAATAAATGCCCTTAAAATGGTATTTTTCCTTTCTGAGGTCAAAAACAAACAGGATATTCTAATTTTTTTTTTGTTGGTCATTTGAGAAGAAATTAAGGTAATGCAAAAAATATTTTAAAAAGTAATGAAAACAAGTCTTAAAAAATCAATTAAATTCTGCTAGGGTAAATCATTAGACATAAATTTTCAGTCAAAAACTTCGGCAATTCTTTTTTCTACATTTCTGGATAATATTACTTTAAAAACTAGAAATATGTCCATAGGACATGAATGCCCCGCCGAGGGTATATTAGTAATGCAACATTTTAACACAAATTGAGAAAAGTGAGGTCAAGGTCAAAGGAAAGGTCAAGGTGAAAAAATATTGATGCAGTTGAATAGCTTACATCAGTATGTATCAGCATATGAAGTTTGACACTAATTTAAGAAAAGTGAGGTCAAGGTCAAAGGAAAGGTCAAGGTCAAAAAATGTAAATGCAGTTGAAAAGGTTACATCAGTATGTATTAGCATATGAAGTTTGATAAAAATATTATGAATGGATTCTTTAAAACTGAGCTAAACACTAATTTAGAAAAGTGAGGTCAAGGTCAAAGGAAAGGTCAAGGTCAAAAAATATTGATGCAGTTGAATAGCTCTCATCAGTATGTATCAGCATATACAGTTTGACACTGATTTAAGAAAAGTGAGGTCAAGGTCAAAGGAAAGGTCAAGGTCAAAAAATGTTGATGCAGTTGAATAGCTCTCATTAATATGTATCAGCATATGAAGTTTGATAACACTGTCTTGAATGGTATCTTTAAAACTAAGCTAAACTTATTTAAGAAAAGTAAGGTCAAGGTCAAAGGAAAGGTCAAGGTAAAAAATATTGATGCAGTTGAATAGCTGTCATCAGTATGTATCAACATATGAAGTTTGTTAAAAATATCTTGAATAGTTTCATTAAAACTGAGCTAAACACTAATTCAAGAAAAGTGAGGTCAAGGTCAAAAAGGTCAAGGTCAAAAAATGTTGATGCAGTTGAATAGCTTACATCAGTATGCATCAACATATGAAGTTTGATAACACTGTCTTGAATGGTATCTTTAAAACTGAGCTAAAACTTATTTAAGAAAAGTGAGGTCAAGGTCAAGGTAAAAAATGTTGATGCAGTTGCATAGCTCTCATCAGTATGTATCAGCATATGAAGTTTGTTAAAAATATCTTGAATGGTATCTTTAAAACTGAGCTAAAACTTATTTAAGAAAAGTGAGGTCAAGGTCAAAGGAAAGGTCAAGGTAAAAAATGTTGATGCAGTTGAATAGCTCTCATCAGTATGTACCAGCATATGAAGTTTGTTAAAAATATCTTGAATGGTATCTTTAAAACTGAGCTAAACACTAATTTAAGAAAAGTGAGGTCAAGGTCAAAAGAAAGGTCAAGGTAAAAAAATTTTGATGCAGTTGAAAAGCTTACATCAGTATGCATCAACATATGAAGTTTGATTACACTATCTTGAATGGTATCTTTAAAACTGAGCTAAACACTAATTTAAGAAAAGTGAGGTCAAGGTCAAAGGAAAGGTCAAGGTCAAAAAATGTTGATGCAGTTGCATAGCTCTCATCAATATCTATCAGCATATGAAGTTTGATAAAAATATCTTGGATAGTTTCTTTGAAACTGAACTTTGAACAGAGCTAAACGCAAAGTGTGACGGAAGGACAGACGGAAGGACAGAAGGACGGAAGGACGGAAGACGGACATGACAAACACTATATGCCCCGGCCATATTCATGGCGGGGCATAAAAAATAAATACATGTTATGAAAAACTCAATGTCATGAAGATGATCTAATTAAATCTAAGCCTCATAACCTCTTTCTGACTTACATCTGCATACTGTATAATGAAGTGCCGATGGCCCTGCCAGAATGCAGACAGCACATATTGAGGTTCGTTAGTCTTCCGATTCTTGCTCTCCCTGACCAGGAAATCCCCGTCCTTGGTCAGTAACCTTTGGACCTCCTCCCTTGGAAGGACCCCGTGAAACCAGTCCTGCTCCTCCACTGGGACCTCCGAACCACTAGATGAAGGGTTGTCAGCCAACTGTGTGTAAAATTGCTTAAGTACATAAACACAGAGTTGTTTTGAAAACCTGCATACTTAATGTTCAATATTTATCCCTTGTTACCTCATATCAAGACAATTAACAATGACACAGATTGTCCAAAGGTGTTCGAAGGTTTAAAATATTTACAGTTATGTTACAAAGAAATGTTGATTATGCTGACAAAGGGAGGTAGTTTTCAATATATGTATAGGAATATACCTACTCTCATAAATTCTTTCAATTTCCTACCCACATTCCTTCAAAAATTCATTAGATCCACCCATTTCCTGCACACACTCCCTGTTATAAATCTTTCATCCACCCTTGTCATCTCAATTCTCTTTCACAAAATTCCTTTGATCCCCCTATTTCCAACCCACACTCCCCCTTATAAACCTTTGATCCACCCCTTAATACCTGGTAATCCGGTGACGTAGGAGGGGACTGCGGACCGTTACTTCTGTTGCCCTCTTTTTCTGAATCCTCGTAGCCCTCCTGGTTGGACTCGTTCTCGTTGTGAGTCTTACGGATGGCTTTACTAATGGTCTGAGTGAGGCTCTTAATACCCATCAGACCTTTATTACTAAACTTGCTACCCTGAAACACAACAATGAATTCTTCATCAAATCTTTTCTCTTTGAATAGAATTTACTGTAGAAGCAAAAAATTCTGTAGGGATAAACTCTCGTCAATTTTTTATCTAAAAAGATTTCATGTATACTGAATTTTGTCATTTCAAAAATAACCATATCAAATATGTAACCACAAAGAATATTACAATAGAGATCTTATTTGGTTGATTAATTTTGAAAAACAAAATTTAATCCCCAGAGAATATTCATTCTTTTATAATTTCAAAAAAGTATCTAAGAGTGTCAATTTTCAAGCTGTAAAATTCTATAACATTTTCCAACTGATTAAGTGGGATGTCATCAGTAAGTAACCAATAAGTTAATTACTGTATAGAAAGAAACTAAATTCAAGTGTAAGCATTTCACTCTATTTTTTTTTAAATGGAAGAATCTTGAAACAATAAATTTTGCAGTTATAATCATTATATGCAAAATTAAAGACTAGAAAGACTTATCTGCGTAAATCCATAAAATGAATTAATTTCACACTAATCTTGATATCTTGAATCTTCAAATATCTAAAAGTTTTTTTTCTCTGTCCCCATCGAGTTTGAGATAACGAGGTTTTACTGTATTAGGCAACATTACAGTCTGTAATCCATTCCTCAAAATGAACATCACTTACCGATACTGATCCGTCATCCAGGGGGATTTCCACCGAGAACTCGAGTGCCGTTGGGACGTTTTCCCCTGCAGCATCAATAACGTCTGTCACCTCCTTTAGCAGAGCTTCCTGTGTGGCTAATTTTGCTTTGGTGTCCGCCAGATCACAGCGAAGTTTCTCCACCTCCTGCCTTTTCTGATGATACCTAAACGCAAGAGAAACTTAGTTACACAGGAGGTCTAAGTTACACAAAATTAAACTTCTCTCAAATACTGTATGTGTACTTAAAAAAGCAGGCTTCATATTTTAGCGGCTTTGGCATGGACAAGGATGCGCTAATTCATGAATACCGCTAAGAAGTCATTTATAAATACAATATACGGCACGAACATGTATAGCACTAATTGATGATTTTGCCAACAACTCCATACCCAGTGATTGGGCTAAATTTTGAAAACTCCAATTTATGTACACATACAGTACATATACCCCCAGATGTTCTATTTAAAAATATTTTCAATCATTGAATGAGTTACCTTCACTTCATGTAGCAAGTGATTTACAGTATTGAGGAAAATGATAATCAAAACTATCAAATCACTAATTTTCACTTAGGATTAATTACCGGTAATGTTGTTTTGTTGTATAAGAGACCCATGAATTCACGTCTTTGAAAATTAATGTTTAAATTTTTTTTCAAACTACAGTACCATGCTCATGCCTTTAAACCATTTAAATTACATTCTCATAATTCAACATTTTTTTCCTCTTACTATGGAAATACGGTTTAAAAGTAAAAAAAAAACTGTTAACATTTCTACATACTCCGGAGATTGCCATTGTTGGCTGCCAATCGACTTAAGCTCCTCCTCCAAGTTACTCAGGCTCTCCTCTCGATTTTTCAGGAGTAATTCCAACCTATTTTTTTCCTCCTCGATCTCCTTTTTCCTGCAAAAAAAAAAAATCGGTAAGTTTTTAATTGAGTAAAAAATGGAAACATGTTTGAAAAAAAAAAACTATTAATTTGGTTAACTACTGTGTTTCCTAATTCATTGTTTCATGCATTTTACATAAATGGATGTAACACCCCAAGTACTGTATACAGGGAATTTTTCACCCCCATTTTATTGTTGTGCCATTTGCCCCATTCATTAGGGGTGGGGTGGGGATGGATGGGGATGGAGTGGTGGGGTTGGTGGGGGGGGGGGATGGATTCAACAGAGTTACATTGTATCTCTATTTGACACAACCTTAAAATGGGTGAAACTGTTTCAGTGTGATAGGGTGAAAATACTGCATGAAAAAAAAATCTGTGTGATATACTTGTTACATGCATCTGATATCATTATCAATAGCTCTCCTAAGAAATTCAACAGTTGCATGGACTCACGGACAGCTTAATTCATTTCCAATCAATCTAGCATGTTTTACTTGACCTCAACATGCAGTACCAAAAATTTTTTTTCACCTTTTTCATACCAAGGTTCTTAAAGAATAATATTCTTCCAGCTCAATTAGTAAAACTTATAATTCACATATTTGATGTTTGTCAAAATGTTCTCATCAATTCAAGTTTTATCAGTTAGCAGACACATACACTTTCACATTGGATTCATTCATTTACATGTATATCGAATTCATATACAATGTTGTAGATAAATATTAAGTAGTTTTTATCTGTAACAGAAAAACTTTTTATTTTATATGAATACCAAAAAAATTCTTCTCCATAAAGGAAATAAGCAGACCATACCTTGATTAGACCATAAACTGAAAACAGACCTAATTTCAATTGAGGTTCTGAATATCTTAATTTTTATTTATCAAACTGTTTAAAAAGTTTCAAGTCTGTCAAATATTTTTAAAAATACTAAATATTTGAATTCTTGACTAGAGTTTGTTCTCATGCTCATTACCAGGTGCAACAGTCTAGCTTAGTCTGTGTACTATAAATCCCTTTTTATTCGCGAGAACTTTATTTTCGTGTATCAGTAATTATGCGAGGCAATCTGCTTGTGAAAATTTCATTCTCGCACATATTTTGGCTAGTATAAGTTATATACAACAATATCCAGAATTCGTGAAAATTTTGTCTCACTTATAAATACCAAATATATATCTCGCGAAAATAAGGTGTCGCGAAATTTTTTTTTTTTTGGCGCCCAACAATTAAACCCACGGGTGGTTAAAAAGAGTCTCAGTGAGGTTTTCAGGATGGAAAAACCTCAAGAAAAAGGGGGGAAGAGTGTAACGGGGACTGGGTATGTCGGCCCGGTAGCTCAGTGGTTAGAGCACCCGCACGGTTAGCTATATATATATATACATCATTAACAGATAATTGCCTTTGTTGACTGTATCTGATATAGAGCAAGACTTCACACTTAAAATCACTTGTATTTGACAACACTAAAGCAAATCTTTGTTCATTAACTGTTATTAGAAAAAGCACTGGATTATTAACAGGTTAATTATTGAGAATAAGTTTTCCCCATTTTGTTATGCCTGTGTGATGTGGAGACCAGTCCTTTGAACGAGACTGTATAAATCGAGCCCCGTGTCTCAGTAGGTGCTGGCACAAAAAAATCCCTCACTGCTGAAAGGCCATAAGTGCCAAGTACAGGCCTCCACCGCCACGTGGTGGCATCTCAAAATGAGTGAAAAATTCTTGAAGGTACGTTTAACAGCAAACAAACAAAAAATTATTTTGCTATGCAAATGAAGATCTCATAACAATCATAAGCCAAATATTTCAATAAATTTGTGCAAAAAAAAAAATTACCTATAATTATAAAATGAACTATAGTTTTGTTATACAAATTAGAAATGTTAAAGGTTTGTTCTAATATTACCTAGTCCAGACTAGACTTGAATGACTTTAATAGAGAAATGAGGAGAACAATAGATTTTTTCCCTAATACATTTCAACATTGGAAGTCCTTTATGTCTCTCTAATTACCCCATCCCTCACCAGAGGATGTGCTAAACAAGCTACACTTCCTCTCTGTTCATCTAAATTACAACAATTTAGTAAAATGGGTAAATAACAAAGTTTCACTTTAATTTTCCTCCTCGATAATTACAAAGATACTTTTCCTAAGTAAAACTTCTAATTTCCTTCTTCTATACATTAAATGTCAGTATCTTAGCATAGTACATGGAATGTTGAGCCTACTCCAGACCTCTTAGAGTCATATACATGTAAATTCGTCCACCTTTCACCTTGATTATAACCTCCTTTCACTTAGATGGAGGTACCGCAAAATTTATCAACTTATTTGTCAGTAGGTCACCTTATAGGATGACACTCCATTGAATTAATACCACTTGAACATTTCATGATTTTTAAAACTTATTTATCTAAAATTTTTTTTAAAAATTTTAAATTTTAAATTGTTTTTCCCATTAATCAATAATGAGACATATATTCTACAATGTTGATATGCTTTAAGGCTTTTCATTATAGTAATACTGGTGTATTTCATTTTCAGTTACAAAAATGTTTTACCGTAAAGGGAAATAATTCCTACACTCTAACTTTCAAAATACACAATAAAGATTTGAAATCAAATAATTCCTCAGTATAATATATTAATCATTTTAAAAATAAACATCTTTTTTATTTCTAAAATCAAGAACAAGGCACACTATGGCAATTTTTCTCTTTTCACTTGTTCAATAATTAAAACAAGGATTGCATTTTGAGCACTAATTTATCTATTGAGCAATTTTCCCTAATTTTGGTCTGCAAATACAGAGATACAATGAAAAAAAAAAAATATTTTAAATAACATTAATATGGGCAAAAAAAAAAAAAAAAATTATAATAATAATAGAGAAATGTATTACAGATTTGAAATGTCATGAAGGTATGATCCCCAGGAAATTTTAGGAAGTGTATAGTGCTTAGTGAGAAAAATACCTATTAAAGTAAAAGTTATCAAATCATATACAGTAAAGCACACATATAACGAAGTGCAAAGGACATACAATTTTGCTTCATTATAAGCGTAATTCTTTATATCCAATAAGTTTACAATAGCATGTTTTACTGTAGTCATGAACTTTTAAGACTGAAATTTACATTTCAATTAATTATTTACTTAAATCACTAGAACAGAAATACTTGATATCACAATTACTTAACAGAACTCATTTGCAAAGGAGGTAGACTTTAACATCATGAACTATAATTATATTGTTAGAACAAATTGGGATGTTGTTATTGATACAATGAACTATAATTTTGTAAACTCATTTGTAATAGAATTGATCAGAATAGACCAATGAAGCCCATCGATACTAAGTAATAAAATTTGAACAGAAATGTAAAGTTACTATTAAGATTCTTAATTAAGAGTAATAAAATTGGAAACTTTGAAGCAGATAAGTAAAAGAGCCTATGGCTGGAACTCCTGTGGTGCAGAGGTGGGGACTGAGTCAAAAAATATTATTAAAGACCCAATTTTTTTACGGTACGGTTACCTGAGGAGGTGGATTCGTCTTCGTAGTACTGGTGTTATTTACCCGGAGAGCCCCAATACTCAAGATGTCAAAAATCCCTATACACGCTGCATTACACAGGAAGTCCGGCTTTTGGTAATCAGGGTCAACATTATGCATTTTGTGCATAATTTTGAGTGAAAATATTTAAAAATAAATGATGTACTGAAATATAAGATTTGTAGACTTAGCGTTTTCGTCAATATCTTTTGAAGAAAAAAAAATTAAAAGGACATATCTTTTTTAAAAATCATTAAAAAAAAAAGGGGGGGGGGGGGGGGTTCAAAACTACAACGCAATCATATCAATATTTTAATCGCCAATAAAAGAAATTATTATAAAATATTAAGTGTGAATATTGAAATAGAAAGATTCCACTTATACTGTTTGGACATTTACCATGATCGGAATAGTATTTACTTTTCTAATGAACAACGGTGTCCAAATATTCGCCATTTCTGAGGGTCCAAGTTCTTATGCCCAATTACTGATTTGGATATAAAAAGAATCTTTAGTAATTCATAGCGTTAGATACAAGATACTTAATTTAAATTAGTATAAATATCTTTTCTTATTTAATACATTGCATTTTGTTATAATTTTCAAATGGTGGGGGAGGGGGTCGATTGTTTCCAATTACGACGAATTGAGCTTCTGTGTATCCATGTGCAAGATAGACAAGGGCATAACGTACATTTTTAAAATCAAGGCACATGTTGAATAAGGTGCTCGGAAGAATTATCGGTCTTTGCTGTTACAGAAACTTCTTCTCTCTCAGGATCTCAGTTATTGAAGAGGGCTTGAATATCCGCTAGCCTAATTTTTCTTTGAAAAGTTCTACAGTTCTCTTGGACGTCATATCGCTACCAAGTACAATACAACAATGGAGATTGGGGAAAAAAATTACGAAGTCATTGTTTAATTATCTACTCTCAATTATTTTTTTAAAAATAAAATTCTCAACCAATATAACAGCGACATGATTTTTTTCTACCAGTGTACACAAAGCGACCTTTCACACGGTACATGAAAGCGTTTGACGAGAGACCAGGTAATTGTTTTCAAAACATGCAAACTCAGATTATCAGGTAGTCCATGTAGCTGGCCCGTCAATCATATCAGAAGCTATTGTTTTTTTAATGATTGACAGGCGGTATACTATTGATCTTGAATTAGGTAGATTTTTGGGGGCGTTAACATTAAATTGGGTGTTTACTGAAGGTATACCTGGATTGGAGGGTGGTGCCATGTTGGGGTCCACAGGTCAATGGTCAGACCTGCAGAGTAAGCGTAGGTGGTATGGCAATGTTAAGTCAGCCAATGAAAAGTACTTTTATATCTGCATGGGACCATTAATACCCTCTGAGCACAAAATACCCTGTTTTGCTGGAAAATGGCACTTTTAATCTATTCTACTATATTCTATACTCTCCTTCTTTCTTTTGACC